CCTAAACGAGCTATGTACCTCTTTTACTAAGCTAAACGCAGCTGCAGAATTTAACACATTTACGACAACGTGACCCACATGGTGGGTCTGCAATAACTGCCACGTGGGACAATGTGACTCGCTTAGTGGGTCACAGCTTAAACTTTGTTGAAATGATTACAATTATTGGTACATTCGTTTCATGAGGTCTTTTACGCTCTGACCCTAGAAGCTTTGACGTTTCTTGGTTGCCTTTAGGAGTTGTTTAGGTATAGTATAGATGACGATCTGCGTGATTTTAGCCAGAAATTTTCGACTTATTCATGGAGGCATTGTCCCACAAGGCAGACAACTAAAAATGCGAGTTGTCAAAGGTGTTGAAGATGTGAATCGCACTTTAGTGCTTGCTTGTTTTATAAGTTATAACGATCCACAGTAACGGCTGTTATTTTAATGTTAAACAGAGTTGTGATTACAGCATCAAAAAGCTCGAAAAACTTGTGAAAATTTATACTATGATCAGCATGACACACTCTGTTAACAAGTTTTCAGGGCTTTTCGGAACTTTGTTATTGAACTGCCCACTTCACAACGGTTTTGTATGCTGAAAGTTCCTACCGTAATTTTATGATAAAGAATAATCGGTAACTTGCACCATAATCTAATTTCAAGCTAAAGCCATCTCTATAATATGGTGCTTCAGGAGCAACGGAAGACATCAGAGCAAGAGAAATATTAACATTCAAACGCTGAGCGCCTTTTTAGGACACCCTGTAGTTGGCTTTATTCAAAGTTTCGCAAAGAAATGAAAAAAAAAATCACATTGTAGAGCCTTTATAAGTCACATTGTAGAGCCGCCTCCGATCCAGATTTACAGTATTTACATAACAAGTCATCTGAAATACTTCATTGGTAATAGATTGTAGTTAAAAGCAAATCACCTATTGTTTTCTATTATTTCTAAGAATACGGTGAGAATTTCCAAGTTCCTTTGACAATCAAAGAATGCCGCAAGTAAAAACTCGTAGGGACTGAAAATTTCTCCAAATTATCTGGATAGCTGGTTGTGTATTACGAAATTCGCGCTTCACAGTATAATTAAACTTGTATTCAACTTGCGGCTATGCTAAAATGGCCGTTCCTCTGTCTGAAGAATTTGCTGCAATATACAGCTCTCACAGCTCTTCAAATTCTTCTTTGAGATTAGCATGTGCAAAAAGTCGATGCAAAATTTTTCAGCCTTTTGGCTAAAATGGCATGACGGCTTAATATGCTAGCAGTTATCCCACAAGTCTACTGAAGCGAAAGCGGTAGACGTTTTATTTTGCATTTCAAATTAAGTTAAGCTAGCTCTACAATAAAGTTGACGTCAGCTAAGACTGTTAGTAAACTGATCTATGACAGCATTCTTTCGCTTAAAGGCAGTGTCCGGGCAAAAACTCGATTTTGAGATTTTGTGCTTACTCGGCCTATTCACTACGCTGACTCCGAAAATCCACACTGGAAAGAGCGAAAACGGCAAAAAAGGGCTTTAGCGAAGGAGGAAACAACAAATGGGCGGGGTTTCCCCACTGTGAATTCATGTTCCCAGATTCTGGAGCGGTCTTCTCGATTCCGCTAGCTGCCCTGACATCGCCACCGGCCATGTGCGAACGATCGACCTGAAACCGGAAGCGAGAAGATCGCTCCAAGAGCTGGAAACGTGAATCTGAAGTGGAGTGTGGACCCCGCCCACCTACTGATTTCCATCCTGTGTTAGCGCAGTTTTCCGCCTTTTTCGCGCTCTACAATATGCATTTTCGGGTTCAGCGTAGCGATTAGGCCCCGGTAAGCACAAAATCTCAAAATCGAGTTTTTGCCCGGACACTGCCTCTTAAGGCGGTATTGCGGCAATTCGCTCCTCACTTCTTGAACTTTTCGGAACCTTCTCGCCATGCTGAATCCATTCCTGGGCTTTTCAGCGCATGAAAACGGAGAAAAAATAGCTTTCTTCCAAACTCTTTATATCCGCATTCGCTGCAAAATGCGCGAACGTGGGCGGGTCCAGAACGAAGGCGTGGAGTCTGGATGACTTGCGAAGGTGATTCTAGGATTTTCCGAGCTTCTTCGTTCCAGACTTCACAGCTAGGTTGGTTGTAGAATCTAGCACTACAACGCTGTAATATTCCAGTACTCATCATTGTCGGGACGTTGACTTAGTCTGTACGTTTGTTGTTTTACCTGCCTCTCTCTTCCCACTCCCTCCTCTCCCCTTCCCTCTCCCTGTTCTTTAGTTGTGCATAATTCACAAGTAACACTTTATACTGAGATGATGGCTAGATTGGAGAATAAGCTGCAAGTCTTTTAGAAGTTATCAAGAGACCAGGGTCAAGCAAGGGGTGTGGCACAAGGCCGCTGGTTACGACCCCCCCCCCCCTGATTGCTGTCTCAAAAAGACCCCCCCCCCTGAATTATATACCTAGATAGCATTACCTGAATGCCCTGTCAAACATAATGGGCAACATATCCATAATGAGCATGTCAATTAACCCCTATAGACAAAGTTTGAGCGAATCTGAAGATTTGAGATACTAGGCTACCTAAGTGAAATGGTCATTTTCCAACATGTTTGACTTTGTTTCAAAAGTGAATTAGCTATCAGTTTCTGCACTCAAGACAAAGCGCTACTCCTTCTTTGTCCATCTCAGAAATCCCGCTTCAAAAGAGCTCGAAACTGTGGAATTAGAAGCCAACCAAAATCTCATTTTTCCCATTTTGCTTTTAATGGCTGTGCTTTGACCAAATATTACTCAGAGCTAAAAAAACGAATCATGCTCAAAACATTCCTGTGGACTTTACATCAATCAATTCTTTTGAAACAAAGTTAGCCATGTTGGAATATGACAATTTCACTTATAAGGGAATGGTCAGAAATCGAAGGTGCCATTCCAGACAAGCTGCATACCATTCGATGCAGCATATAATGCTGGTTTTGAATCTGTCTTCCATATCTGCAGAGCGCCTTTATAGGCGAAATTATGAGCAGCTTTACTGCGAAAAAGTCGTACACAAAAATTCCGAAATTAAGCACTTTATTGCTTTTCTAGCCCTTTAGTTACGAGTCGTATGAAGTGACCTAGTTTCATGTTTTGGTCCAGCACAGAACCGAGAATAGCTCTGTGCGACCAAAATTGCCCTTAACACGCACAACTTCTTAGCAAAATAATGGTCTTTAACGGCTCATAATTTTGTCCACAAAAGTGTTCTGCATATAGGGAAGACAGATTTAGAGTCAGCGTTTTATGCTGCATCTAATGGCATGCAGGTTGTCTGGAATGGCCACTTCGATTTCTGAACATTCCCTTGTTAGGTAGCCTAGTAGCTTAAATCTCCATAATTCGCTCAAACTTTGTCTACAGGGGTTAGTTGACATGCTAATTATGGATATGATAGAATATCATGTTATCACTATTATCAGATTACCCAACTACGACCCCCTCCCCTTTTGACTCCTCAATACGACCCCCGGTGTGGCGTGCCACACCCCACGTTTGACCCTGATCAAGACACGTTCTGCAAACATGCAAAATCCATTACTATTGAAACACGATGTGTTTCAATTTAAGATAATTCACCGTTCAAAATCAAAGCTAAAGTGAAGAAAATAGTGTCGCGATTGAAGAAGTGCTACAAAAACCTCACAACATATCTATTAATATAATATTATGATAGATCGATCACAGCTCCAAGATAGGTTCGCATAACTATATATCGGAACCGAAAGCTTACATTTCTGCGACATTGTATTTTACTATTTTGGCTGAGCAATAATCGGTATTTAAAATTCTACTTATATAATAACTACTTATACTTATATAATTATAACCTAAGTAATTCATAGCATATCAAGTACAGAAAAACAATCCTACTTTGCCTTGAGTGAATTTCAACGGAGGACGTGCAGGATCCTCCAAAGGCCCGCCGCTTCTTCTGCAGGCGCGCCCTTGAGAGGCAATAATCGCTTCGCGCCTACCTCGCGCTTGTGTCGCACTTGTCTCGCACATTTCCGCGATAGTTCCCCTTCGGACAATCGCCTTGTTTCCCCTAGCATTAATTGGAAAGTTCACTGCCTGAACGAGGATTTCTCAATCATAACAAAAGATGAAGATGTGAAAGTTTCAGTAACTAACCAATGAATGTGAAACATTCGGTCACCTTAGTCGAGGTAAATTAGAAAGGTGGTTGTTTTTGTAGCGGAAAGGATCAACGTTTATCACTAACAAACGAAAGAAAATATGAGAATTAAGCTGATTGACAGGTAAATACATTCTACTGTGGCTATTGAGATATGGTGGATAAAAAAGAAGCTCTCACCAGCGGAACCAAGTCATGGGCATATCAGTGGAAATATACAACTTCAAAGAGACGTTGTACATCATTTTTTAGCAGTTTTGGGGCTGTACTCCTTACGGGAACCGATGCTTTAAATAGGTATGCAATTCAGCGGAACCAGAATCAGAGCAAAATTGTTGACGAAAATTCTTTTCAATTGGTTTCCCCCAAATGCCATGTTTGTGCGAAGCTTGATTAAAATACTTGTAAACATCCTACATTTAGCCTGAGGTCATCTGTACGTTTTCCGGTTCCTGGGCTACACTTCCATCAATAAATACAAAAAAGTCCATAACCTCCACTGGAGAAACCTTCGCAAATATAAGTCAGCATTTCGAGTTCTATATATTGGTATGCTTCAACTTCCAAACTGCCACTTCGACTGACTGACTTTCTTGGCAAGAGACAATCAGTCTACTTTTATTATTGTTAGTTCCCACAGCTTTTTCTTTTCCTTGTTATCATTGAAAAATCATTGTTCAAGCAGTGACCTTTTTAATTAATGCTAGGGGAAACAAGGCGATTGTCCAGAGGGGAACTATCGCAGAAATGTGCGAGACAAGTGCGACACAAGCGCGAAGTAGGCGCAAAGCGATTATTGCCTCCCAAGGGCGCGCCTGGAGAAGAAGCGGCGGGCCTTTGGAGGATCCTGCAACGCCGCCAATTTCAACGGCATTCAATAAATCTAACAATACACGTAAGATTATAGACTCTGACCAATCATAACATAAACAACGAAATGGCACAGAACGAATGGTACATGAAGGATGCAAGAACAACAACACACAACAATGATACAAGAAATCCTCAGTCTTCTTCATTATGATTTGCTTCGGGAATTGTCCATTCAAAGTCGATATCATCTGCAGAAGACTCACTCGAAGATGGACCTGGAAGGCATGCATTAGTGTGAAAGTTACGCCTACATGACCTGACTGTTCGAACGTGATCCTGTATTCACGTTACTATTCAATAAGTCGATAATGATCTAATGAAAACCTCTTCTAACATGTTATTCTTGAAGGAAGTTTATCGAAATACTATGACTCGGACTCGTTATCCGTTACAGGATGTTGCAAGTGATCCAGCAAATTACATCTAGAGCAACTCATCAGCAACAAAAAATGGCGCTAATTATTTACAGAGCAGAACACCTGTATAAGGTTTCATTGCTCTTCCATACAAGGAGACCATCGCTCAGGCGCGAATGGAACACCTGCTAGTTAGGATACCTATGCTTTATTGGGGGAACGGTCAGGAGTCACGGTCGGCGCGAATTTTTCGCGAAGCGATGCCGCAAGCGATGTCAGCAAAACAGAAGCTAGCACTCCTGGCGCAGTCTTACTTATGGCACGAGCCATGTATCTGCCCCCACCCCCACCCCCTAGACTGGCGCCGTGCCACTTTAGCTCCGGGCAGTTTTACGGGGTACAAAATTTAGACGCGACGTGCGCGGCGAAGCGGCGCGGCGCGCGGCGTGACTCCTGACATGGAGCCCTTTATTGAGCCCACCTCAGACACTCGCTGTTGACTCGCGCCGGAGATCCGCCCCTTTTTGAGGGATTCGCGGGAAGGGCGTAGACATGCGCGAGACAATATTTTGACAGCTTTTGCGGTTGTTCGCGAAAGGAAATCGGGAGATGATGAGTGACTCAGCGAGCAGTTTCGCAATATCGACGCGCATTTCAAATCTCAGCTCATGTTGCATCATTCCAGGTTTTTTGCTACCTATTTCCAAATCCGTGCATTCCATCCATCCCACCTGAGCCCTCTTATTCCCATTGATTTCATTCTAATCCAACATTAACTTTATTTGAAATCCAATTTTGAAGCTTCTTCTCTAGAAATCAAAGCTCGACTATCTCCGTGATAGTGGGATTGTGGAATTTGAGTTTTTGTCCATAATAGCCTAATATGTTTCAGCATGTAAGTTTTGGCTTTATTTTGGTGCCTATTTTCTTCACTGGTTCTTAACTTATATGCTGAAACATATCAGGCTATTATGAAGAAAAACTCAAATTACAGGATCGTGAGCGACTTGGCGACTACTGCGGAGAGACGGTGCACTTAATTCCACATTTTACGGATGCAGTAATCCAGTGGGTTGAGCAAGTGGCCAGGATTCCCGTTGATGGCACATTGGAAAGGCCAGACGTTTGCATCATTGAGGTAAATAGTATGTTTTCATTGCCATTCTTTACGTATTGATTTGTTTTGGTTTTTTTTTGAGTCACTCTCATTTGAACTTACCATTTTCGATGCACGACATAGGACCGTGTTGCTTGTTTTAAAAAGAAATTGAGGGGGTGTATAGTAAATCGTCCATTCCACGACAGCTCACCTATGCCACCTATGTCACATACGCAAAACTGCCAACCGACGCATTGTTGTTAAAATGTTGTTGCTGTTGCAACATGCTACCTGTGGGAACGGCCATAGGTTGTCGGTGTCGTCGATGTTGTCGATGCTGTGGGGTGTGGCACGCCACATTCACGCCAAACCAGTCTTGCTGTGATGTAAGCCATCTTTTCTTTAGGTTGCTTCCTTGCCCTGCGGAGAAGGAAATGGGCTGACAGTGCTGCAGCAAAAGGAGACGAGGAGAAAAAAGGAAGTGAGTGGATTACCACACAAATCTTAATAGCATTTGTTCTGCATTGCAGAGGTGCTCCGTATTGTTGACAAGAAGGAGCTGTCAGACTACGTCAAGCGCTTTTCAAATTTCCGTTTCTCAATTTTATGAAGTGTCTGATGAATTTCTTTTGGACATAGTGCTCATTCTCCTTTTTTAAAGTATACACCTTGCACCTGCGTCAAGGAAATAGAAAAGACCATCCCCGACAAGTTTTGACCCATCTGCTACTAATTCTTTCTAATTTGCTGTACTTACATATCACTATCATATCATTTGCCTTGACTCTACTCCCGCTTTTGCGTATCACTTATTTGCAATCCGAGATTCTCATTGTTTAGACGGTTACTAAGTACACTTCTATCTCATCATGTATCTCCATATCGTGAAGCTTTAAGATAGTAAGCATAGTGGTTTGACTTCCCCGAAGTATCCTTATGCCATTTTAGAAGTAATAAATTGGTTAAGACTTTGTAGAATTCATATATATGCGTGTACATATATATATATACATATATATATAATGTATATTTATACATACACATATAACATATACATATATGTAATGTACAGCAAGTAGGGATAAAGCGAAATTACTACTGCGAGATAACGCGCTCCATTTGCGTCCGGACAACAGGATGTGTCGCCCTCGAGCTCCGCGTATTTCCTGCAAGATGCGGGTCGCGTCAAAGTGTTGTCTCGGGCAGCATTGTTCCGACACATGATGCTGTCTCGGGATTTCCTCGCGAGCCCGATTACTTGTGTCGCGCCTTCATTCAGCGCTTACACAAAACTTTGGGCTGCGCGAGTCAACAGCGAGTGTCTGAGACCGCTTAATAAGCGGTGTACAGGTAGCTCCGCCCTAGCTAGCGGACAAGCTCAAGCAGACAGTACAGCTTGAGTATTACATGCCCAAAGCTTATCTTTCTTCACCCTTCCTTTATTTTGTTTCCTTTGAGAAACAAAATCATACATACGGCAATAAATGACTGTTTTTCAAAATGGTTAGTTCAAGGCTCAAGAAGAAAAGTGTGCTTGGAATTTTACATACTGATAATGGTAAAATCATCACGTCTGATGTTGATAAAGCGGAATGTTTGGCTAATGTTTTTGAGAATGCAATCCAAAATGAAAGCGGGAAAGATAATGTTACGGTTATGATAAATTCCAGGACCACGAGTGAAGGGGTGTGGTTTTACAGAGAGGAAATCTATAAACTTTTGATGAAGTGGCCTAAGTCCACCTCAGTGACTCCTGATTTCCTTCCACTCCAATTTATGGAATCAGTAGCGGACATTATTTTCTGGTCCCTTGGAATACATTTTCAATTTGAGCATGATGAGAGCGGAAGTTCCAAAGAGGTGGAGAACGTCTTTTATGTCGCCAATTCCTAAAAGGAAACCCCACGCTTGTCCAAAAAAACTTCAGACCCATTAGTATTACTTCACTATTTGCGCGCTTGTTTGAGAAAATTTTAAAGAAAAGCAAAGTGAAGCATTTTGAGGAAAACAATGTTATTGACACTGCGCAGCATGGATTCCAGAAAGGCAGGTCCACCACTACTGCTATGCTTCAATCTCTTGATGAATGGATGGTGCATTTAGAAAGCGGATTGAGTATGGACGTTATTTACTTGGATTTCGCTGAGGCTTTTGATAAAGTCCCACATAGTAAACTCATGCAAAAACTTGAAGCTATGGGTATATATTCGCGGATCCTTGTTTGGATAAGAGCCTTTCTGACTGACAGAACCTTTGTAGTACGAATAAACAACTCATTCTCTAGACCTAGAAAAATGAATAGTGGAGTACCGCAAGGAGGTGTTCTTATACCGATATTGTTCAATATTTACACTTATGATCTTCCCATTATCCCAGTTTCTCATGGAGTGAGTTGCACTGCTTTTGCCAACGACTTTAAGCTGTATGGAGTTGTTATGGATGATAGTGGATATAACTGCTGCAGGATGCGTTGAATGAATGGTGTTTATAATTGGTCGCTGAAGTGGGAATTGCCAATCTCCCTAGAGAAAACTATGGCGCTTCATATAGGCCCATATAAAGGAAACTTTAATTGTTCCATGGGAGGGAAAGGGCTTGAAATAGTTGAGTCAATACGTGACCTGGGTTTCCTAATCAGAAATGATCTTACATTTGATGAACATTGTAAGCTCGTTGCTGATAAGGCTACAAGAGCTGTTTATAACTTGTTCAGCGCGCTCTCCTGTAACAAGGTTGAAGTGTTTCTAAAGGCTTATAAAACTTTCATAAGGTCTATGCTTGAATATGGTACTATCATCTACAGCCCTCATTTGCGCAAAACAGTCGACTATCTTGAGAAGGTTCGAAAATAGTTTCACGCGTAAATTATTTACTAGATCTACTGGATTGGTATATGACCAGATCCCGGATGGAAAGACACGTAATCTTAACCTCAAACTTCCGACATTAGCCCACAGAAGGCGTATGTTTGATTTGATCATGGCGCATAAAATCATGTTTGGGGAGTGTAAACTGAATGTTAATGATTATTTTCCTATCAGAAAGTCTAATACTCGGGGAGGACGTATGAAACTAGTGCTACCAAGAGCAAAGTCCAGAGTCAGAGCAAACTTTTATACTTGCCGTGTTTTACGCAATCTTGATCACATGGTAAGGAACGACATGTTGACGATCAAGCTATCTAACTTCAAAACAAACATTAAGAGCTACTTACAATCGAAAAGCTGCGTTTGACCTTTTACAGCTGTTTTTTTTTATCTTGTCGTTAATGTGTTCTGTTTTATTGTTCCCTTTTTGTTTTACGTTTTTGTTTTTGTTGTCCGACTTTGCACATGGGTCACCCTATTTAACAATAAACAAAATAAAAAAATATGTCACCTCTCTGATAATTTTCTTTCATAAATATAATCTGCATTTACTAGTTCTCCTTTAAACTTAAACAAGTATGTGAGACGTGCGCGCCGCTATGATTAATGAAGAAACTGAAATCCAGTAAAAAAAATGAGATACAAAGTCTTTTTCTCCATTTTCTAAAAGAATGAGGACGGGCTGATCTGCGCTCGTGTGCAGGTGGCAGCTAGCGGCTGGCAGATCTATCGTTATCCTCGACTGACACCCTTCCAGGCCCCTAGAGAGGCAAAATGCATTGCAAACTGCAAAATATGCATTTACATTGCACATATCTCGCCCTCTCCGGATGATTCTTTCTGTGTTTTGAGGCATAAAAAAGCAACATTTGGATAACCCGGAAAGGAGTTAGCGCAAACGTTCCAGATAGGGCTGTGCGTGATCGTGAAAGGTCGGTGACATTGCCGCCAGCTCATGCAGGATACCACAAGGCCCCAAACCATAAATGACCACACTTTCAAAAGTGGTTCAGATGACGCTAGTTAGAAGCTAACATCTGACAGGAGAAAGTGTTCGACAGGAGAAAGAAAACTGAGAAAGCTCGATGCGTGAGCGATGGCCGTATTCTCCCGACAACAAAAGCGCCATGTGAAGATCCAAGCAGAATCAAGGTAGAGTGAATACAAGGGCGTTTGCGATAAGATAGAGGCTTGGTTGATAATAATGTGACTCGTCGCGCAATCACAAAGAAGTTCTCTGAAATATGAAAAGGGATAAATACAAGAGACAGACTGGTTAACTAACGGACCACACTACATTATGCGAAACGCTACTTCTTAGGCAAGTACCAGTAAACATCACAGTAAAGCAACTAACTGCCAGGCTTACTTCTTGAAAAGGGAAATTTCCACGACGAAACATCGACCGGATCAACTCCAGAGGTGACAAAATTGCTGGGGCGAGACTTTGCTGTTATTAGTTTATGAGAGCCGAGCGATGTAGGTGTCAGCAAGGACGAAATCTGCAAGCAAAATCTATTTTTCACAGCGTTCAGAGAAAGCGAAAATCCAATAATTACCTGTCTATGAACAGCCGCGTGATCAGACCTCGATGCAATACATCTTGAGAAATCAGGATTATCATCAAGTTTACTTGCACCAACAGTCTGATTGAAAAGTTTCTCTAATTCAGGAGTAACCGAAGTCTCACCAGATAACAATTCAAAACCATTAGGGCTAAAACAGCCAAAGCTAGTCAGCTATCATAATCATCGGTCGTGTAACATACCAATCTTGAAAGATATTTTCGCAAGCTGTGTCTGTAGGTTGGCTTCTCTGATCACTGGTAGAGATGCATGTTGTGCGGTTCATAAGTGAGCGGTAAACCTAGGAAGAATTTAGATATGCACGATTTCGAGTACACCTATTCCATAAAGTTATAAAACTTGAACTTACATTAGAAGATGAACCTGGTTCGTTCTCACTTCGTTTAATGCTTTCGGAAAGTAGTCGAACAGCTACATTGTCATATTTCTCATGATAGTCATCACGAAGGTAGATCGTTGGTAAGGCCGATAATATGCGTACAGAAACATCGGGAAGAGACAAGATGTTGGTAATGAGTTCTCTGAATAATGGCTGAAAATAAAACGGTATCAAGGATAAAACAAACCCCTTGTGAGTCTGCTGCTCCTGCGGCTGCTGAGGCTCGTGAGTTTTCAGTCTTTGATGCAAATCCTGAGCCGTCCTTGGGATAACGTTAGGGCATCGCTGCTGAATTACCAACAAAATAAAAAAAATTCTCTTACGCATTACGATTTTCCAGAAGCATACAAATAAAACACCTTTCGAGCCGAAACAGTTTCGTCCTCAAATGGAAAGATGTAAACATCAGGATTCTGTCCCGTAGAACTTACAGCGGCACTGAAACACGCCTTGCTCAAATGCTTCAACATTATGGTCCCGAAGTTTAATCACAATTACAATCAAAGTCATAAAAATCGCAGCTACCAGTAAGTTCGAGCAACTAAATATGGGATGTAGTCGTAAAGTGCGAATTATGGCTATCGCCAGATCGCATTCAAACCCATTGAAACCAACGTTTCAAGACTTCAGTGGATATATAATTTGAAAATAGAGACTTACATAATGATACCTGTATAAAGAAAACAAGTTAATCCAAATGTGATAATATAACAAAGCAAGATACTATATTGCTAGTAGACATACCGTACTCCAGATTTTCAAAGACAAACGTGAAGCAAGTGATAGCATCAAATGTCTAGTTCTCCCACCCTTGTTTGACAATTCTAAACGGCCTGTGAGAAACTGGAAAACCTTTTCTGTGCCTTTGGTGACAGCAATAAGGCGCGCCTTACGACTGCCTCTACGAGATAAGTGATAGAGTGAGTATAATGACAAATCCACCTTTTCCCATGGAGCGACTGGTGAGGCTTAGTCGAGCTTGACGACGCATCTTTATTCCAAGGTTCATTTAACCCTTCGGCATCCCAAGTATTATCAATGTCAACTCGTGGTTGGTAACCTGGCATTATCGGGGTATATGTCAAGGTGAACGATAGCTGGTGCCAGTGGCGCGCGGGGTCATGAACTGGCAATAACGTGTTCGCTCCATGCTCCGCCTTACTGCGGCGGACGAGTTTCTCGGACGATACCGTCAAGTAAAAATAATTTTGATAGTGAGATATAAGCTTGTGGAAAGCTGGGGTGAAGCTTGCTATTTACAGAATTTGTTTTTTTTTTGTTTCTTTTTTTGGCAATTAATGAACAGGTGATGTTGGTCGTAAAATTCGAGAGATTTGCTGATTTACCTATGAATGACCGAGGGACTCCTGGATATCCAACTTTGAAGTGTGAGATCAATCTAGAACACCTCAGGCATGATTGTTGAGTGACCTCACATCTTACGATTAGTTCACACGCAATTTCGATTGAGTTACAGATCAATTTGTATTGAGGATAGCAGTTTTTGAAAGCAAAATGAAAGAATTTTGGTATTTAAAGCAGATTCGAAAATGCATAAGTGCAGTTTGATTTTCCTGAAAACTGAGAAAATTTATGTGATATGATCGCATAGTTGCGAGCATTTTCGAAACAATTGTCTCACACCTGCAATGAAAAATCATTTTGAACAAGCCTACTAGGAACAAATAATTGAATTACATTGAAAAGAGCTTGCGAACTAATTTTATAATGAAAAATGATCTGAAAGCTGATTTTCAATTTAACTGAAATTTTGAAATTTACTTTGTAACCAAATTGCAACCAACTGAAGGAGCGGACGAAGTATTAGAGCGTTTTCCAATAGCTACGCATTCCTAGGCTAATTAACAAGGGGGCGGAGCGATCAGCGCACCGCGTACGGTATCCAGCTGGCGGCTGGCACATGCTATCGTTCATCTTGACCGCCACCCGGCATTATCGTAAGAATTGCAAAAAAAAAGAGATAACATAAACTTGAAAATATATGAGATAGAAGATAACAAAAAACGTGAAGGAAACCAAACAGCATAAGCGGAATAATGCAAACAAGGAAGACTTTAACTTTGGAGGATGTCCATTTTTTGCCGATGCTTGGATATTGCCTATTATTGAACCATTACATGAAAAAGAATAAAGGTAAGAGTTTTGTGAATGAGCTACTACGACTGGCTTCTGCCTTTTGTCAACCTAGCCTTCGCTGATTTTGTCCTCCTCTTAGCAAGAGTTGAGCGATATTCTGCAGTCACGAAAATATCAGCCAGATCACAAAAATGCAATCAAGGAAAAATATAACAAGAAGATGCAAAACTGGGTATTTTATCCACACGCCACATTTGATCCACTTCATCCACTCTATCTACATCGCTATTGTTCAGATCAGCGATTTGACCAGTAGCGAAGTCGATGATTCACTTGCACTCTTACCGCTATCGTTATCCCTTTTGGAGCTACAAGGCTGGTTCCTCAGTGTTTTGATGACTTCTTCTGGGTCCTAAAAGATACTGAGCAATTTGAACGAGGTGAGTATGCGAAACTGACCTCAGCTCTTATGCAAAACCGACCTCAATTCTATAGCAAGGTTGACGAGAACGGGTATTCTCTCTGTACGGAAGATGAGTTGCTATTTTCCTAGCGGCGTTGAAGGATGCATCGGTGTCAGGATCACAGCGTCCGTCATCTGAGGCGACGAGTCTGCTGATCTGTCTTCTGCACTATAAGGAAAATGAGAACAAATTAGTCCAATGATAGTCCGCTAATAACACATATCTTGTAAATTGCATATATGCAAACACAGTGTCTAGCAAACTTCGGAGTACATCTTTACAATGTAGACGAAAAAAACCTGTATAAGTTCGCGGCCACAACAATAGAATACTAACCCAGAATAAGAAACTCAAAGTCGATGCATGACATTGAAGACTCACTGCTTTCTTCACGTTATTCGAGAAGTCGTTAATAACAATCTGCGAGTGTTTGGCATTTCGAAAGAGCCCGACACGTTGTGTCAATCTTTCATGGGTGATTCTTGACACTTGGTGTATACCTCGTGCAAGCGGATCGTTATACCACCGAACAACCCCATCGTCTTCCTCTAAATGGACACTTAAGAGTAGCTATATCAACACATTAACGACAAGGCCGATTTTTTTGATTACTGCCGTTTCGGACAAGAGCGTTTTTCGCTTTGTCAAAGCTTACGACCCACGTGGGTCGTATTGTCCAAACTGGTAGCCCTTTTGAGAAGAGTTTAAAACATGTCTCCAAGAATATGTATGCCCAGAGGAGTTATCGAAGCGCTAGATATCATAAGATTCTAGTTTTTGGTATTATACTGTAAGATTACGGTAGTCAATCTGTAAAAGCCTTATCTCTATCCACGGTATGCCTACCGTAACATTACATTACAGTATGCCGAGCCCACACCGCTCTGGCTGGTGCTTCGCCTAAGTGTCCCAAATCATGTGCCAGAACTGTAAATCCCATCATAAACAGGCAAACTAGAGCTTCAGGAATCTTACGACCCACCAGTGGGTCGTATTGTCGTGAATGTGTTCTATCATAAAGAAACCGTTACTGACCTTTTGACTTGGCAATTTTAGGAGGAGGAGAATTGTCTATCAAAGCGTGCACGTTCCGTTGACGCCCACCAAACCTTACAATGGGTGGTTTGCGATGGGGATTCCATTTCGGGATGAACGTTCTTTTCGACATTCCCTGAAAAGCAATATAGCTAGTAATCGTTTTTTTTTTTCAAAAGACAGCTGCATGATAGATAAGAACTATATCGTCACATTTTTGAATAGTCGATAGTATCAGTTACGTAAGTCTATTTAATGTTGGTACCACCAGTGAACCAGGGGTAGGGGAACGAAAGCCACCAGTTTGAGCCGCCTTTCGCGGCCAAATGGTCCTCTCGCAGTGGTGTTGCATGTCGTTCCAGGACCAGCAGTCCGCGGAGGCGGCCCAAACTGGCGGCTTTCGTTCCCCTACCCGTGAACCAGTATAAGGGCCGCATGCACTAACATCCCCGCCGGGAGGGGACCGCAGCTTAAAAGAAAGCTTTATATTTCGAAACTCCAGATACCTGGATTTCACGTTGTGTACCTATCCGTAAGTATTCCTACTACCCTCCACCATGAACAAGAGGAGCGAGAAGCTGTACGAACCGCATTTTCCAGCTTTTGTATGATCCCTGATGATCCCCGGCGCTTTTCTTTAAAGTCATTTTTCTTTCTCCGAAGTTAACGAATAACCGTTAAAGTTGTGCAGATTATTTAACCCGACAGTGCTAAGCATGTTGGTGATAGGAACAAATGATGTTTCAAAGTCATGAAATTTTCGATGATCCACAGGTCGAAATTTGAGGTTTGCCGAAAAATTCGACTTTTCAGAAACTCATTTGTTTTCATCAGCAACATGCTTAGCACTGTTGTGTTAGATGTTCAGTACAGCTTTCGAAGGTTTTCGTTAACTTCGGAGAAAGAAAAATGACTTTAAAGAAAAGCGCCGGGAATCATCAGGGATCATACAAAAGCTGGAAAATGCGGTTCGTACAGCTTCTCGCTCCTCTTGTTCATAGTGAAGGGTAGTAGGAATACTTACGGATAGGTACATAACGTGAAATCCAGGTATCTGGAGTTTCGAAATATAAAGCTTTCTGTTAAGCTGCGATCCCCTCCTCAGCGGGGAGGTTAGTGCATGCGGCCCTAAGGGGGCTATTTGGAAGAGCGTTCGCTTCGGTTCCGCCACCCGGTTTTTCGATATTTGCAGATTTTTGAATTGCGCTACCCAGAAAATGAAAATCACGGATTTCGCCGGACTTCGTTTAGGAAGGTTGAATGAACGCTGGTTTCGACTATCACATTTATCACGCACGATAGTGCCATCTCCTTACTGATACAGTTACGGTGAGTTAGAGGGTGTGAAAGAGCAACTTTTCCGCTTTCCAACCCAGTTTAAATTTTAAAAACCTGGAGAAGGCTTAATCGTGCAAGACGAGTGCGATATACAGGGCTTATCAACTACAGAGTCGGATGCACCATTCCCGCTCCCGCGCGAACGTTTCGCCTGGACTGTGCACCTCTTTCGCAAACATGCTCTCTTATCACTTTCCCACCAGAGCGTGGGAAAGGCGGAGCTTCATGAGCGTGCGAAAATAACTAGAACCTCGAGTCATTTGTAACTTAATATGTGAGATTGCACACTAAGCTCTATTAGCGACGGCACCCACACTAGTACCTTCCGAGTAAAAGATCTTCTAGCCTAACAAAATATATAAATGCGTTCTATTGAATCGTATAACCAACTAAAACAAAAGAAACAAGAAAACAAGGAGAAATCACTGGAAATGAGCAGGTTCTAGTTTCGCTGTTCGTCAGTTGACGTGTAAAGTGTGCACTACGCATATTAAGTTACGAATGACTCGACGATAGATAGCATGGTGAAGAGGTGCGAAGTCTAGGCGAGGCAGCCACGCGAGAACGGAGATGTTGGTATAAGCTAGAGTACCGCGCGTACCGCGCGTCACTCTTTTTTTCGTGCACTCTCGCTGCTTGTTTTGAAGGATTATAAAAGTCAAACCAACATCGTTTTTGATTTAGGCGTCAAAAAATTTAAAAAAGTGCGTAGTCCGCAAAGTACGGATACATTTGATTTGACGCCTAATGTCAGAAAAATGAGAATTTATTTCTGACCTTCTTTTCGACTCGACTGTATTATAGAACTTAACAGGCATATGCTGAAACTGATCAAAAAGTACTCCGAAGTGAAGTTCAGTAATCACAATGAACCAATCACGGCCAAAATTGGGATTTGTATGTTTTCGAGATCCTTCTTTTCAGTAAGTGTCTGTTTTGCCTAGAAGGTCAGGACACAAGGGTTACAAACAAATTTTTAAAATTAGAATTCAACGGTTAGAACTGGAGAACCTGTTTTTCAAAACTATCTGTGGGTGAAACTAGAAACTTGCCTGTATTTGATCACAGTTGTACATGTATCTACTCGATTATTTTTTGACGCCTAAGTCAAAAACGATGTCGGTTTGAGTTTTATAATCCTGTGAAGTAAAGCCCTCGTCAAAAATGCCATGCTTTGGCAATGCAGCTCGCTCTGAGGAGAAGCTGTGTTCTGTGAAAGAATATAACGCGCTGTAAAGTCAAGAAGTTCCGTGCGGGCACAGTTTGAATTTCGATTTAGACTCCTTGTTGTTCCCAGTTTAAAACATTTGGTAAATGCTGTATTCTCAACAAAGATTGGTCGTAAGTGAGGGAAAGTTGCTCAAATAGAAGTTTTCGTAAGCTGTTTATGCAGAATCTGTACCAGGGCTCGGCACAGATCGTCTAGAAGCAGGCTGGACTTCGTTTTAAAGCAAACAGCAAAGGGGATATCGTTTTTGACGTGTCGGCACCGAGCACTGTGCACCAAGAATAGAATTCAGCCGAACACAGGCTTTTTGAACAGGTTGTCACACGATTGACATGCTCTATCGTGCATGGCGAAAAGTGCGCGCGATTTGAAAGCAAGGCTTAAATAAAAAAATTGCTTGTTTACAGCGCATACAGAAGCATATAACACCAAAATTGAACTGTATGTATAAAAAATTATTTGCGAAAGTATTATGCAAAAAGATTTGAAAACTTATGTGAAGTAATACCTTTTCCAAAATTAGATCGTCTCCAGACGGCCACCAGATGATCTGAGATCGTCTGGAGCATATATTTTCGTCACTTCACATAAGTTTCGGATCTTTTTAGCATGGACGAATTTCCCGGTCAAAAATCTATCCCTGAGCATGAGGACATTTTCATATCATTGCCTTTTCTTTGTTTTTTGCCTTCATTTCTTCTCGTTTTGTTAAATATCGCGCTCTAATGCCAAAGTCTTGTGCATTCGTAGAATTCAGCTCCAATTTGGATTTTCACTCTTACTAGCGGCCCAATGGCTAGCAGGTGTGAGATATATTATATTGAGTCACCGAAGCCTCGTATAACATTTTTTCAATGCCGTAAAAGCTAATAAACTTCGTCTAGTGATGTTTTGATTGAAATCTTCTGCTGGGAAGGCATGCTGCGCATATATGTAGTTCTGATGACGAAAGTACGACTGCTTGCAGAAGAACCTTGGAGTCAACTGAGATGTCGCGTTCAGTGAAGCTCATTTTCCAAAATAGAAATGCACACCTTACACATTGCGCTTTTTCTCTAGACTCACCCTCGCATTAGATAAACGAGCAGTTTGTATCTTTTCGTATAGCATCCTTCCCGTAGTTTCCTTTTCTGTGGCTTTTCTTAGCTGATGTATTGTATGTTCCTTTCGGCGTAAAATTTTCTCAAAGCGTTAGCAGCTTTTTCCGTCAATGCATCAGAGGAGGGTGAGGACGATTCGCATCCTTACTGCTTTCCAACCACTGCCGCGCGCGGAACACCCTGCGGCGGCTTTTGCCTAAGCAAGGGGGAAGAAAGATTTGCGACTTGCATGACGTGTTAGGCCTAGGGCATAGTGTCCACGATACCGTCGCGCTGCGATTTCTGAATTACGACAACTGTTACGCACTCGTTGTACATATGTCTATGCGTCTGATACGGCGCTTGTGATACTCGCCGGCGCGACGGATCGCAGACCCTTTTTAGCTAGGGCATAGTTGCAGCGATAATCGCCGCGATTTCGGCCGAACTCAGCGATGTCGCGTCGCGCGTGCTGCATAGGCGACTGCGCGATATCGCTGAGGTGCGAGGGACATCTTGAGAGTTTTTTGTACGCATGCATTGTTCTTTCACCTCGTTTTTGTTTGAAAAAGAAATGAAACTTTTTTGAAGTAGTTGTACAAAGATACTTTTAGTCTTTCCCTAACTTTAAATTGCCGGACGACTTGTTTTTCGAAAGTATAAGCATTTTTGACGAGATGGTTTTTTGGAGTGTTTTCTGGATGATTTTTGTGTTAGAGTCTTTGCTTTTCGGAAAGTTAATAGTTATCACTTTGGCTGTTTGCATATTCTTACGTTTCGCTATCCATATGAATACAGGAGAATTCTCGTCCTTACTGGTGCACTAACTCCAAACGGTTATACTTGTGTTTTCGCTATCTTCGCAGTGATGCTGTGCTTGACTTTTAAAAGGGCGTTTAATGTGGGTCTTTGCTAAAGCTTTACAAAATCCACGTACTAGTTTGTTCCACCTAAAATTTTGTTGAGGAGTGTCTAGTAGCTGTTGGCTCAGAGAGGCCGACGTTCCCAGGTGAAATTCACTATGCTTATGTTAGAACTGGTAAGCTCGTGAAAATCTTGTTGGAAGTTGGGCAAAATGTGAGAATTTTTTGTGCTCGATTTCATCACGATCGGCATGAAGGCTCTATGGTCAGAATGAAGTGAATCTAATAACACATATTACACGAGAACAGTCTGCTTAGTTTGCGTGCACCTTTGTGCAAAGATATGAAATCGCGAGCACTATGCCCATGCACGCGCGACGGACGATTTCGTCGTCGCGATCTCGTCGCCCAAACCACCGATTTCCCCGGCGATGAAATCGCGGCGACGAAATCGTGGACACTATGCCCGTTCCCTTACAACAATCAATCAGGATAGCGCTGGAGACCGACCGTGCGAAAAAACCGTCTCCTATTAGAAGAGCCTAATTTCCTCATCACTCTGGCCTTAAAATATCAGTTCTCCTTTCCCAATTTCTTAGCCAAACTGCACTGAGTATTTGCCTCTAATACTCACCGTGAAGCTGCCCACTCTTTCTTCGTTATTCGAGGAACTGTCCCGTCTGCAAAACCCTCTTTTCTCAAAAGCTTACTGAAGAAAGTCACAATATCCTCCTCCCCCTTCAATGTACTTTTAGTCAGTATGCTCACAACGTTCCCCTCAACTTTTCCGTGCCAAGTCCTAGACAGGGCGCGGCGTACATTGGTTCGAAGGATTTTTGAAGACCAAGCGCGCCGCAGAATGCAGAATGAATGTGGTATTCGTGATCAGCACTTCAGAAAACCTCCTAGACCAATTTCAGCCAAAACTGAATTGACTCTTCTACGAATACCCACCGTTGCCCCACCAAATGGCGTTTTTATGAAAAAAGAACGTAATATTTGTGATTCCTCGACCCAATTTCAGCCAAATTCACGACTTTGAAATTTTGAGCTGCGGACACATGGATAGCACCGTGAACTTCTCCGCAAGCAAATCCAGTCCAACTAAAAACCCTTTTTCCAAAATTTTTATGCCAAAGCGCGAGTCTCCTTTTTTTCTGGAAGTTTTCTGTATCTTTATTTGAAGCATGCTATGCTACAGCCGATAAGTCACAAATGGAAAATGCGCGCGATCGCTTTTACGCGCAGTTCGCGCTCATCTCGAGGCTGCACAAGTCGGGGATCTTCATGGCGCACTTCTGTGGAGCTTTTAACCTGAGCAAAAAAGGAAGAGCAAAATTTTACAGGTTTGGGAAAGCAGATTGTCCACATTGATCTCTTTCTGTGAACAGGACGAAAGGTCCTAGGTTTTGCAAATGTTTCACGCTTTCGTGCATAAGTACAAAGACATCTGGGAGTTAAAAAACGCGGTAATGCGGAAAAAGCAGCTAGATTTATAACATCGTATAGCTAAGCTACAAATGGGGTTTTGCAACCTACTTTCCGTTCAAAGTTCAAGGGGCCGGAAGCAGTTTTGAATCATGGTTGGCTAACATGCGCACGACACGGGAAACTTTCAGACATTTTCATCGACAAGAGCCCAATTACCATGATTCCCACAGTGAATTCATAACATCCGTACTGTACTTACAGATTATTATCAGCTAGTTTCAAACGAAAGCGGCTGCCCATGGAAACGAGCTGTGTGCGGGCGTACAATCTCAACCATGAAAGACGCTCAAAGTTCTGTTCGCATCCGCTTCGCAAAGCGACCGCCACTGTCAAGGATTAGGCTTCACATTAATCATAAGAATTCACATTACAAAACAATAGTAAAGTTTTGGCTTCCTTATGCAAGTGAGAGAGGGAGTGAAGGCTATCTACATTTGAACTGCGCTTGACCTGGCTCATTCTCCTTGGTCTTTCTCACTCAGTTAATGGCAGTTTACGAATAGTTGTGTGAATGCTAAAGTTCAATGGAAAAAGAAGTGAATGTTAGAATTTGGCCTTAGTGGGGTACAGAGTATCCTTGTTAATACAAGGTAATTTGTCGTTTCGTCCATCATTCTTTTCTCCTTACTCATCATTCATATAATTGGATTTCCTACCATATTTTCTTTTCTTTGTCGTCTACGCTGCTCGCGAAACTGCGATTATGTTGGCACACTTAAAATGAACATAGTTTATAGTTGTCGTGAGCCGGTCTATGGCGCATTTAGCTTAGGCAAAAGAAGGGAACGAAACTCTTTGCTTGTGATGTTAGAGTAATGCAACTCATCCAGTGTATGAGCTCCTAGCATTTTACGCCATAATACTTATTTCTCTAATTGTCGTCCCTCTGCAGCAGCCCATTGGGAAAATTTCAGACTTTACTTTGATTCAACGACTTATAACATCAAATGACTGGAAGCATCTATATAGGCCTTTAGCGTTTTGCAAATATATAAAGCTGCCAAAACTTTACATGTGTCTCATCAGAACCACAAAAAATGTCATTCAAGAAGCAGCAGCGTTTTTAACAAACATGCTAACTTTGAGCGCTCATAACTCATCAACCACTAAAAATGGGTCGAAGAGAATGGTACCAATAAAAAGAACAGGAAAAGCTCTTAAGTGAAAATGCTCTTAGATTTTTGAATTTCATTTATTTTGGGGGCGAAATATGACCTTAAAGTAAAGGTACCTTTGAGACACAGATCCTTTCTACATAATAGGATCTGTGGAGAAATCAGCTGTTTTTTGGAGCCAACGATAGTGGCAAAAAGGAATTCCTGAGTGGAGAATCGAACCCGAGTCTGACAGCTGAGAGTCACACCCAGGGTAAAGCGGGGGGTGCGGCACTCGACGATACGACCCCCCCCCCCCCTGATTGCTGTCTTAATAAGACCCCCCTCCTAAACTATACACTTAAGATAGTATTACCTGAAGGCTCTGTCAAACATAATGGACAACATATCCATAATTAGCATATCAAATACCCCCTGTAGACAAAGTGTGAGCGAATTCTGAAGATTCAAGATACTAGGCTACCTAAGTGAAATGGTCAAATTCCAACATGGTTAACTTTGTTTTAAAGGTGAATTAGCTATCCGTTTTTGCACTCAAGACAAAGCACTACTCCTTCTTTGTCCACCTCAGGAATCCCGCTTCAGAAGACCTCCAAACTGTGGAATTAGAAGCCAACCAAAATCTCATTTTTCCCATTTTTCGCTTTTGATGGCTGTGCTTTCACCAAATATTACTCAGAGCTAAGAAGACGAATCAGGCTCAAAACATCCCTATGGAATCTACGAGGTTTAGGCTATCGATTCATATAAATATTGTCCGCTAAAAATGTTTTTTTGATATAGTTAATGGCCTGCGGCACCCCCCCCCCTCAAAACCCGCGGCTGCCGCAGGGGTGCCGCAGGGGTGCCGCAGGCCATTAACTATATCAAAAAAACATTTTTAGCGGACAATATTTATATGAATCGATAGCCTAAACCTCGTAGATTCCATAGGGATGTTTTGAGCCTGATTCGTCTTCTTAGCTCTGAGTAATATTTGGTGAAAGCACAGCCATCAAAAGCGAAAAATGGGAAAAATGAGATTTTGGTTGGCTTCTAATTCCACAGTTTGGAGGTCTTCTGAAGCGGGATTCCTGAGGTGGACAAAGAAGGAGTAGTGCTTTGTCTTGAGTGCAAAAACGGATAGCTAATTCACCTTTAAAACAAAGTTAACCATGTTGGAATTTGACCATTTCACTTAGGTAGCCTAGTATCTTGAATCTTCAGAATTCGCTCACACTTTGTCTACAGGGGTTAATTGACGTGCTAATTATGGATATGATACGAATATCATGTTATCGCTATAATCAGATCACCTAACTACGACCCCCTCCCCTTTTGACTCCTCAATACGACCCCCCCCCCCTCTGCGGCGTGCCGCACCCCCGCTTTACCCTGGTCACACCCCTTAGCCACTAGACCATGGAGACTACATTGCATCTGCAGTTTACGCGCCTCAATCGCCTTTTTTTTTCATCAAACTCAAGAGGGAAGGGGGTACGGTGTCCAGGCTCCCGCAACGATCTTGAAATCCGATCAGAAAAACGGGGGTTCTGGTTTCCATGTTTTTAATATAATAGGATCTGTGGAGAAATCAGCTGTTTTTTGGAGCCAACGATGGTGGCAAGAAGGAATTCCTGAGTGGGGAATCGAACCGAGTCTGGCAGCTGAGAGTCACACCCCTTAGCCACTAGACCATGGAGACTACATTGCATCTGCAGTTTACGCGCCTCAATCGCCTTTTTTTTCATCAAACTCAAGAGGGAAGGGGGTACGGTGTCCAGGCTCCCGCAACGATCTTGAAATCCGATCAGAAAAACGGGGGTTCTGGTTTCCATGTTTTTAATATAATAGGATCTGTGGAGAAATCAGCTGTTTTTTGGAGCCAACGATAGTGGCAAAAAGGAATTCTTGAGCGAAAAGTGCGCGCGATTTGAAAGCAAGGCTTAAATAAAAAAATTGCTTGTTTACAGCGCACACAGAAGCATATAACACCAAAATTGAACTGTATGTATAAAAAATTATTTGCGAAAGTATTATGCAAAAAGATTTGAAAACTTATGTGAAGTAATACCTTTTCCAAAATTAGATCGTCTCCAGACGGCCACCAGATGATCTGAGATCGTCTGGAGCATATATTTTCGTCACTTCACATAAGTTTCGGATCTTTTTAGCATGGACGAATTTCCCGGTCAAAAATCTATCCCTGAGCATGAGGACATGCCTTTTCTTTGTTTTTTGCCTTCATTTCTTCTCGTTTTGTTAAATATCGCGCTCTAATGCCAAAGTCTTGTGCATGCGTAGAATTCAGCTCCAATTTGGATTTTCACTCTTATCTTACGTCTTTTCTTTCAGACTAGTAAATCTTTCTAGTTCATCTTCTCCTAAGCAGGTAGGTCAAAGGGGACTTCGTAAAACTTCCGAAAGTCAGGAGAGACTTCGTTTTCAGAGACCTTAGAAACCGACTCGTGCCGGGCCCTGATCTGTACTGCTTCAGTTGATTGGTGTTGTCGGAAACCTTTGCTTTTCCTTAACACCTAGGCAAAGAATACAGGCATCAGTCAGCGTTGAGAATTCTATTTCTTCTAATCCCTCATGGTCGCGAGTGCTTCGTGATCGGTTGCTTTTCTCAGTAATCGTCAATGTCTCTTCACGTTTTTTCGCGTTGCTTAGATAGAAATGCTTTTTCAGGATATGGCAAATGTCACAGTAACCAGCGCTGATCAGCAGCTTATAAACAAGTTTGCTCGACTTCATCAGGATTCCTCTCAAGTGAAGGTAACGTTTTCGCACACTCACTTCGTTTGACGATCTTCAGGATTTACGGTAAACCTCTGCTGAACCATAAGTGGCTTCCTGTCTGGAAGCGCGCCTTGACAAACTTACAAATTCAAATTCCGAATAGCATTCCATTAAACTTGGTTCAATACAAATCATGTCTTTGAATGCCATTGACTCTTTGTTACAGGAGGAAATCAAGGAGTTGTCAAATGATTTGTTGAACATCAATGAAGCTGCTGATGAGTTAATGTTACTTGAGGACGAGGATAGCAAATCCATACCATTTCGGATTGGACAGACTTTTGTGCATTTTGATGGCGTAAGTCTCTATTAATCATTGATTTCATATTTACTGACTGTCCAAATTTGATATCTGTATGTAGTCCCTGTAGCTCAGACTTTGCAAAAAATTGATATAAATCGATAAAATCAATTCATGACAAAAAGTAGCCTACGACACTCGCCCCATCCTGAGGTGCCTTTCAGCTTCATTTATAGAATGCGAATGCAGCCATTAGGATGATGTTATAAACTATTAGGCACTGGCCAGACTTCGCTCGAAAGCGCATAAAGCGCCCAAATTTCTCTACCTTTTCTTCTTTCTCTCATCTCTCCTCACACGAAAAAAGAGGAGATTAGAGAAATTTGGGCGCTTTTGGGCGTTTCTGAACGAAAGCTGGCCGGAAGCTTATAGTCTGCGTTAAACTGTGCTCTCCTGATGCTGGAAATGTTCTGAAACGTTCTAGACTCAATATCGAAAGGTGCCTTCATATCGCGCCGGCAGCCGCCTGTAGCCGCTTTTGCGCACTATCCCAGTATCCTGCCCACAAGATCGAAACTGGTGAATCTTGTGAACTTTATTTAGTGGGGGGGGGGGGAGAGCTTACTCGACATGTTGACATGCTACACGAATACCACAATCTCTTTACGTTTTGGAAAGGATAGTCTTTGGGATACTGAGATAGTCTGCAAAAGCGGTCAGCGGCGGCTGCCGGCGCGGTATGGACTAATCTAAGCGGTGGATGGCGCAGCAGCGTTATCTTACAGCTCACACCCACCTTACCTTAATTCAGGATACTATGACATCGAAACTGGAGCAACTGAAGGAGGAAACAGAGATGAGGATTAATGACTTGACCGTAAGTTGTGAAGACTGTGATTTTCTTGTTCCAGCTGATTTCATTGTGTTCTAAGGCTCGAAATTCTGCATCTCAGAAGGAAATGGAGAACTTGAAAAGAGTACTTTACGCTAAGTTTGGAGATCGTATAAATCTGGAATCTGAAAAAGATTCCTAGATTCTTGTGCTCTTGCTGTTATTGATTATATATGTACCAATATATCATATATGTACGTAATAAATGGTGATTGTGCTCGCGTCTTGATTCGTTATCTGGTTTTTCCTTATCTACTAGCGATTTGTCACCTCATCAAACGAATGATGGTGCCATAAGTTGTGGCTGTGATGTCTTTGTTGATTCTTCTATCTTCTCGAAATGACACCAGAGTTTTTGCCATCCACCTCCTTCTGATGTGATTTGATTGGATTTTTTGCGCTTGAAATCTTTCTTTTCCACAGACATAAACTGAATACACCAACATTGTCTCGTGGCTTTTGATTTTTATTTGAGCCACATCTGAGTCCTATCTTTTACAGTCAACCATTACACTGATAATACATTTCAAATGTGATAACCAACGAATGGGATTAAGACCTTTGAGTTTTTTTATTTCAAAGGCGTCACTCATTCGCTTGGAATCTTTATCATCAATATTTGATATCGTCAATTCACGTTCAGAGGCAAACCTTACAGCTGGAACGAATTGATGACTCTTAGCTAGTGTAAATTGTGAGAGCTTTTCACCATCACATGGAATTCCTTAGTGGATAGTGGGATAAAATCTAAGTTTGTAGCCCATCTTAGATTTTAATGTTTTAATAGTGAAGATTCGAATTAGTCCCAAGTCTCGCTGCAAACAATGATTTCCGAAGCGAGAAAACCGCTCCAGAATGTAGAGACCGCTGGCTCTGTCTATCAATGTGGATGGTCGGCTCTGTCTATCAATGTGGATGGTCTGAGGATGCGAGTCCGAAAAGGCTTCAGGTTAGACAGAGGTCAGAATTAGTGTTCATAATGAAAGGGGATCTATGACAACTCTTGTTACCTTGAAGTCCAAATCTGCACTTATTATCTTCAGACCAGTCAACTCGATGAGTGGAGCCAGCTTGGCTCTTCCACTTTCTGGAGCGATTTTCTCACATTGGAATTTATCTGTTGCAGCAGGAGTTGGGCCATAACCTAACTAGGGAGCCAGCTATGATGCATCGTCAAAATCTCAAAATCCTCAGTCTAAGCGGACGGTGCGGCGAATCGCTACTGTTCAGCTGCTTCTTGCTGCTCGTAGATGCTGCGCGGGTGCATTTTGCGTGCAAGAGCAAAGGATCCTTACCTTTCCTAGCCTATCTAGATTAATAGAAAAATGAGATGAATAATTCTCATTGGTTAACAAGGGAGTATCATACTGTTCTCACTGAAAATTTTTTTTTTTGTATTAGGCACACAGCAGCAAACTAAATGCCGTAAGTACTGAAGAAATTACAAGTTTAACAGATGTTAAGGTGAATGTTACAGCATGACCTTTGCGTCCGCTTGAGGCAACAATTAAACCAGTTCCAGTGACTACCTTTCATGTATAAAGGTGGTTTGGCGACATCTTATTTTCGTTGATAAATAATTGCCTCTGACTGTCCATCTTACTTTACCTTATTCTATTTCCATTCTAGAAGTTTTATACACTTGCTCTCGCAGAATTCTTTTATTTATCTATGCATCTGCCCTTAAATTGTTTCACAAATTTGTCATGGTTCAATATCGCAACGAATGCTACAAATCTAATACATGAAGAAACGTAAGCGCAATTCAAAAATCTGCAAGTAGCGGGAAACTGCGGCGCGGTCCCGGAGCGAACGCTCTGACATGTAGCACCTTTAGATTACTGGTTCACTAGTTCCTCAAAAAATACGAAAAATGGTAAAACGAGCTAGAACAAAACAGCTGAAAGCAGCAGTAAAGCTCACGTGAAGTGAGCTTCATATCGCGTAGTAGCAAAGGGTTCCTTCATACTACGCCGTGTACGCCGCAGCACGCTGCTCGCAGGGAGAATACGCTCATGGTGGCACATGCTGTCTATCAATGTATTTCCATATCTGCTACTCTTCGTGTTCTCCGAGTGTTCACAGCGAAACTATGCTGCCATGGGCGTATTCGCGCTGCGAGCAGCGTACGCTGCGTGCTGCGGCGTACGCGGCGCACGCGGTGTAGTATGAACCCAAGGAGAAGGAACCCAAGGAGCAGCAGCGAGCAGCAGTGAGCAGCGCAGCATCACAAGCTATAGCGGGTCTGTATCGTGCTGGCTGCAGCAGCCATGAGCAGCAGCGTCGCCTGCCTGCAATCAATATGTCCGAAAAGCGTTGATCCTAAAGCTTGTTCTCACGACTTAGCAGGCATAAGCGACTCGTACCTATAGTTACAAATGGCTGCGAAAAGCGCGCCCCATGACCCAATGCAAATTTGGCCGGCGCGCAAGGCGTCTGGTGTCGGAGCGCGCTATTCAGGCACAGGTGTCTACTGTCTGAGCTGCATAGGCTAACCAGTGAAGATCTTGATCGATGGCAGTTTATCATATGGAACGAGCTGGTGAGGATGTCGTTGAGCCAGCGGCAATAAGTTGACGATGATAGGACAAAGTGTACATGATTGGCTTTTTTCTGTAAACTTTTTGCTTGAACTTTCTTTTACGACCTTTTTCTAATAGCAAGCTTTTGTGCACGACTCCGTTTCTTGATGCTTAGGGTTGAAGAGCCTAGTATAGAGCCGTAGTTTTTGAGTTTGCTTGTGGTTTTAAAGATTTGTTCCTTTTGTTTCTGAATCTACTTTGTTGCGTACTCACGATGAACAAATTCAGGATCCACATCTCGTCTCATATACTAAATGAACAGGATTTGCATGTTCTGAGGTGGTCTACAACAACCATGAAAGGTGGATTCTCTGTTTAACAACTCAGGCTTCTTTTCATCTGTCACAAAAATGAAAGTCAGGGAGGCCGGGTCCATACCATCAAAACTTCTGAAGAAAGTCCTTCAGTTCATTCCAATGACTGCATAAAATTTTTGGTTGTGACATCATGGCAATTTTATCTCAGTACGTCGATTAGCTACCTAAAGAATGCGCTTAGATGAGCAGTGAGAGACAAAGAAGCGAGAGGTATCCGAACACAATTCTCACAGGCCGCACTTATGTCTTTGTACTCTCATCCACCTATCTGTGAAATATAAACGAAGAAAGTAGCGAAAATCTTGTGACAAGTAGTAAACTGGAAAGCGTAATAGCGCCCTACCTGAGCTGGAGGTACCTAAGCCTACCCAAGCTGCCGAAATTGACGTACGCAATGATTTTCACGAACGGTTTTATCGAAATCCATCTGGACTTACAGCGCTTACCAGCAAGCTACTACCCACTCTGTGCACAGAAAACTCGAAAACGCTCTATATCTACAAGTTGTTTGAACAAGCTCGAGCTGATTTTGTCCAAGTGGTCTATCATCAAAAATGGGGTATGTCAACAGTGCTTTTCAAATCGGTGTTTTTGAGTCTCCTAGTCTCAGAATGAATAACTTACCTCTTGACACTTGATCTGCAGCTTTCTTCTTTTTATGGCTTTTTATGGTATAAACGTATGTTAAGTATAAAGCCTTCTACTGTATAGGCACAAACAAACCATTACTTTCCCACCTGTGCTAAGTTCTTGAGGCACTAGATTAATGAAGAATGATCTAGATGGCAAGAGATGAAAGTTAGATCATCGCATGTTAACCACAGCACTTGTTTTTGTGATTCCCCTTCAGAAAGGAGTTCATTTCCCTTCAGTGTCCCTTGTTTGGCGCTGAAACTTATAGGGTGTGCGCGCTTAGTCGCCAGGGTTCCCGCGCGGAAACAGATTTGCACTGGGACATGGGGCGCGCTCCTCGCAGCCATTTGTAACTATAGGTACGAGTGGCATAAGCGTTGCACCTCCAAAGCGGCGCGGTTCTGGTAACGAGATCACTCCTATCAATGTGTGTGGATGGAGAAAGATAAGCTGTTTATCGACTTTGACCAGCTCGCAACCTAATCCGCAAACAGTGCCCGCTAAAATCGGGTGGAAGGACGATAGCTGCGACAGATCGTAAGCTATAGCCGCCCATCGTCAGGTATGTATGAAGCCCTACATGCCTTTTTTGCATCCACATTCTCGGACTCGGACATCCACATTCTGGATTTTTCTTTCACTCAAAGATAAAGACGCGCAGTCGAACGAGAATCAGTTATAAGTGGTGCTAATCCTGCATATAAAATCCATGCTTTCAAATTAGTTTAATAGTCCTCACGTATGTTCCTATTTTAGTTGATAAATTATGCCGATTTTTCTGTGATCGTTATTCGAACAATGGGAGGTTCAAAATAGCATAATCAGGGACTACTCTCTCGGCTATAAGCACAGAGTGTTCACATTGCAGAGATAGTCGCACACAAGTCAGTCTCGTTCGACTACACGTATTTCTTACTGTTCTGAAAGTAAAAGTCAAAAGTTTCGAGAATTTCAGCGCAAAATGGCCCTAGAGTGTAACAGAAAAACCCCATAAGACGCGAAAAAAGACTGGCGTCATTTAAAATGGGCGTCTGCATGTGTGTGCAGTCACGGCACAGGCGGGATCTGCTGGCCCTATCCGGGATCCATAGGGATTTTGAATTTTTGTGCAGTGACACACGGCGTAGCGAGGTGACTAGATAGATGTAATAGGCCTGTAATTGGTCCGCATGCATTCAGTAGCCTTTTCGACTATGGAGTGAGTGCGTTCGGCGCATGCCCGCAAAGGGTACTAAAGACGTCGAATCCTTTATTCTTTATCCAGGTCTGCTTAGCTCTGCATTTGTCCGCTTTTTATCTTTGAGCTTTTTTAGCAGCCTATCTCCTTTTAATGTAAAATTTCCTTTGCAGTCTGTTTCTTGATACCTGTGCGTTTCTTCTAGGGTTCATTCAACATCCTACTAATCGAAAGTGAGGTTACTGGACAACAGCATTATGCTTGGACTTAGCCAATTTCACTCCTCTATGCAAAGTTACAGCAGTCTTGACCTAAATATTGGCGAGATTCAAAAGGCTGTTCTTGAGTCTGTTCAGAACGGGATTGCGCTGATATAGTTTTGAAAAAACGTACCCAAATTCTTACATGTCTTTTGCTTGTGAAAGTGGGATTTACTGGCGGATATTTATCTTTTATCATGACGGTAAATATTCCATGATAAACGAGAACGTAGTGGTGAGGCGCGGCGATGATCAGATTGGACCCAGGTTCGATTCCGCCCGGGGCCATCGAAGCCCTCTAATATTGGTACAGAGTAATCTGGGAGAATAGAGGCTTTTTTAGAGGCTTTCTTAGGAGCACTTTGGTGATCGGCTGGCTCCTGCAAGTCACTGTAATGGGCCACACGTATTCGGCAGCCTCTTCGACTTGAATGAAATGCGTTGGGGCATGCACGCAGAGGGTATTGAAGACGCCAAATCCTTAATCCTTTTTTATTTACGATACCCTCGCAAAACACATAAAGATATGCGAGATGAAAGTGCCGCATGTTGCGCCATGGCATACAGACACTCTACAGTTCTTCTTCTTCTTGCCTCCAAACACATTTTTGCTGTCTATTGCCAAATCAAACACCACTATATTTCTCTTTGTGTCTTAGTCATGATGCTTCATCGTTCATCGCTTACACAGCTTTGTATTCCTGTCTTTGCGTCTTTGGCAAGGGCATCTGAGGTCCAACTATCCAAGTATTTCTCTTTCAAAACATGGCGAAACGTCCATTTTGAGATTGAACATGCAGGGAACATTGGACATTGGAGGGGGGGGGGGACACACTTGCTCCTACCCCATAATCTCGATGAGTAATGCCATCGTTGCTTTGCTTAATATCTGTAGCGTGCAAGTTGCCTATTCTTTGGTTCGTGCGTCTCCTTTGCGTGTGTTCTTATCTACTCTTTATTCTTTTTCTCCAAGAGTGGGGACGAAAAAGAGGGTCAGACAAGACAGTGTTCTTAATGCCAACTCGATTGATTTGGTGTTCATAGAGCAAGCGTAAACATGCATCGGAGCGTAAACAACCCTTCAATGTTCTTTGGACTCACCACTGAATGCAACATCGTGCTATTTTTCTCCTTAGGAAGTCACTCAGATACTCCATCTAGTCCGCATCTATTACTAATGCTCATTGTGATATGACGCTCACAACGATGTATTAATCCTCGTTCTTAAGCGCGGCGCTAAAATCAATTTCGGAGTGAAAAAAGAGAATGCTGCCTAGCGCGTAGGAACTTTCTTTCCTTGACTTTTGACTGCAGTGTTCAGGCGAATGTATAACGGATCACAGACAAGTCAAGCGAATGCGTCATCCAGGTGGTTTTCTCACTCGTTTTGTTCCAGATATTTGATTTTAACGGCTATATACAACGATTTGTTTGCATGTCTTTGAATGGATTGCTCTTCTTTCTTGGTTGCGCTAGCTATCGTGCTTTATATCAGATTTTCTTGATTTACAATTATTTCGGTCAGTGATCTAGGCCCGTATGCACGTACATCCCCGCGGGGAGGGGATGTGCGCTTAACCATTGAAATGATCCCCGCTGGGGATCCCTTCCCCTCCCCGCGCGAACCCCCGTATGCACAAAGACAATATCGGACAAGAGATCCCCTGTGGGGAGGGGAAGTGAACCCTCTTATGCACAAGAGGGGATCAAGCGGGGAAATCACCTTGCTTTCAAATTTTCTATGAAAAACTCTTTCTTATTTCATATTTTGACTGCAGCTCATCTTCATCTCCTCACTTTCATTAATTTAGGGTTGCGGAATGCGCGTATGCAGTGACTGCGCTCGGGGCACTAAAAATGATTTTTTCTACTCCCATTATGTTCATGCTTTCTTGGATGCTGCCCACTTTCGCTCATGCTGCTCCATTTCAGCGTAAAAATGTTGAACTGTAGAAGTTGATGTGTCTCTGCAAGGGAATGGGTAGAAGACGTTAGGCTGCCGAAAAGGGGGGGAGGTGCCCCGCGGACGCTCAAAGCAGTATTCTAACACATAACAGAAGCTGCAAATTGTGCCAGCTCTCCATAAACGCTGTAGCTATCAGCTGCATATCGTCCTTTATCCCAGGGGAATGATCCCCAACAGCCATCCCTGCTATGCACAAGGGGAACGCTGGGGAGGGGATCGCTCCCCAGGGGATTTCTACTCAGAAATAGGCAAATATGCTACTTTCTAGATTTTTTCGAGGCAGCTTATGTTAAAATAACAAGATAATGGCAATATGTCATGAAATATGAAAGTTACAATGTGTTTACTCAGCCTATATAGTTAAAACTATTATGTTATATGAAAAATGCACAAATTTCCTGAATGATCAAGAACTCCTACAAATAATCGAAATTGGCAGCTAGTTGCTCGGATTTCTTCTCAAGAGGCGAATGTAGAAAAGAAAGACAAATTGCAAGCCACAGGTCGCTGAGAGAAGAACCCGGCTTTCAAAGAAAATCCTCCATCAAAATGAACGAAATGCTTGGTAATGACTGAGCAGAACCAGAATATCCGCGTCTCTGGCATGATCTACACCATCGAACCCCTACTTCGTTGCAGGGGATGTCGATCCCCTCCCCCGCGTTACTGAGTTGAATTCGCGCATACGGGGTTCGAGTGGGGGAAGGGAAGGGATCCCCTCCCCCATTCGAACCCCGTATGCACTGGGGTTCGCTCGATCAATACCTCTGAAACCATTCACACCATCCCCGCTTAGGTGCAGAGGAGGGGATCGCTCCCCTCCCCTCTGTCATGGCGGGCTTCGGCGGAGGGGATCGTTCCCCTGGGGATCCAGCTCCCCTCCCCTCCCCAGCGGGGACGTACGTGCATACGGGCCCTAGTGTGAGCAGTTCTCCCCTACAATGGTGGCAGCAAGTCCTCGTGATTCTTTATTTACCGTTGGTGTGTGTGTGTTGCATGCCGCTGCGCTATTTTCGCTCGTACATTACTAGCAAATAGACGATTGCCTCACATAAGTCTGAGGAACCTGTCATACTTCGCCCAAAAAAACCAAAATGCCCCTTTTCGCGACGCATTTTTTTGAAAATACCAGTCAATACTACAACCAATGTTGATAGCGGAATATGTTGTAGAATTGTGTTGATGACATTAGCCAGAGCTCTGTAAATTGATCAGTTATCTCTGCAAACTGTTAGGTCGCAAGGTCTTTATGTGCTAGCAACGATTAGGGGGGACCGTCATAGTTCGCCCAAAACGTCGAAAAACGCAAGAATGCTTCTGCTTGCGTGTGCAACTCTTAATGATGGAGCCTAAGTCTGGAGACTACTTTAGCATTAAAATTAGCTAGCAGTTCGAGAAAATCAACTCGCAGTTTGTTAAAAGCTGAAATTGGAAAATTATATGATGACGTCAGATGTGCTTTGAGTAATTCACGTTTTCGCAGAAAACTCAGCAGCAGCGGAAAATTCAAAACTCTAGTCGCAAAGATTTCAAGCTAGAAAAAAAAAACAGTTCATTATGCAAGACATAACATCAAAGCACTTCTGTGGACGTAGTGTTTTTTCAGCGTTCGTCGAGATAGCCTGATATCTTGATTTAGATGAAAAAGAATTGCATATACTTGTAAATCGCTCAAGTCACATTAGGAATGCATGAGGTGTCTTAGTAAAACTTGAGCCGACATTGGCATTGATTGGCATCGTTATGAGGGGAGGAGGGCGCCAAAAATCGCAGACCGAAAAATTTTTGGGATGGTTTCCAAAATTTTCCCGGGCCCGTAACCCCAAGTTCACAAAATGGGGCATGGAATTTGAATTTTTAACTTAAATTATTTTAATTGTTAGTTTGAACAAGTCACTTGCACAATTTTATGGCTGATTTGAGTATTTTTCAAAAATTTTGTGACCAGGTTGAGGGGAGGGGCGCCCCCCCCCACTCGCTCGCCACTAGTGCTGGTGTATTTGTTTTGATATTGAACAATGTTTTGCAAACACGCTACAAACTCAAAAGTGATCATATTGAAAGAAAGTAAGAGTTTTTATGGTGAAGCTCAAGCTGACACTGAGTGTTATCGGAACATGTGTCATAATAAATGTGAGTGAACGCAGTTATTCCATAATCGAACACGTTTCCAAAACTAACGCTTCAGCGTCAAAATCCCTCGAAGAAGGGCGTTCTGTGCTTTTGGGCGCTTTTGAGCTCTTTTGGGCGAAGTATGATAGGCTGAATGCTTTAAAGTTTCAATTAAGACCGGCTGTCATAGCGGCTTTGCTTGGTCTCCGGGGTAGCATGGTACTCACCGTTATATCCGACTTCTTATTAACCCCTTATCTCCATTGCCAAAAGTGTAAAGCCAGTAAGTAAATGCAACCTGAGACATAAATCTTCGTCGCCTCGTGGCGGGGAACGCAGAAGTTGACGCATTCGCATGTTAACATTGTAATCAAGAAGAGAGTTGCGATGCGTAGTTGCAAATTTAGGTAATTGACCACTTTCCCTTCACCATAGATCACTTTTTTGGTCAATGATTGACTGAGCGGAATAAACGGTCCTCCCTCAGCTCTGTTTCAACAATATTTTAGCATTCTGCCTAGTCTATTCTCACACTCGTAAGCCCGTCCTGGCTACCTTGAAGGTGAGAGCTTGGGTGCCTTTAGGGGTGGCTTTACACACATGGTAGTAGGATTAAATTTTTCTTTCCCTACAGATTTTTTATGTCAAAATCGTGGATTATAAGCTCTGGAGCTTTTGATTGGTAACATGGCTTCCCATTATGGCACCGCTGATCATGCATAAGAACGCATGCATTCGTGAATGTGAATGAGCGCAGGCTTATTTGTTCACTCTATCACCGTGGAATCTTTGCCTCTTTCTATCCTATCTTTGCGTTCATTTTTTTTTTTTAGTTTTCATTGCTCATCATATTTCGTTTCAGGTCTGACGAAATAGAAGAGACGCCAAACGTTTTACGACGTTCTTTGCAGCAGCAACAAGTCAGACCTTCATCGTTTGCAGGATTTGCCCAAGAAGCTACAGGTATTTTGAAGGGAAATTACCAGGGTTAAGATTGGGGTGTGGCACGTTACACCCGGGGTCGTACTGAGGAGTCAGAGGGAAGAAGGTCATACCAAGTTGATACTGATGTGAGTGGTAACATGGCATTCGTTAACAGTGTCAGTTAACCATTATGTATAAAACAAGCTCCCTGAGATATTGAACTATCATCGTACACGCAACGTAAGCATGATGAAAAAGCCCTGCCAAGCTTAATGTGTAACATTCTCGTAATTAGCTTGTCAAATACCGCTGTGGACCAACCCAATTGAAATGGTCATTTTCGAACATATCAACTTCGTTAAAGGTGTGGAACTCTTTTGGCGCCCAATACGAAGCGCCACTCCTTTTTTCTCGTATTAACATTACCATCTCGAATGACCGCTAAGCTATCGAGTTAGAAACCAGAACATTTTTTGCTTTCAGTAATTGGGTTTCCAGCTAGCGCAATTGGGCGGACGTCAGCCACGCACTCCAAGAATGTTTTGAGATGCTCCCAAACTTTTCCCGGACCCCTGACCTCAAAATTTCAAAAGAAAAGGGCGTGGCTGCCGCCCCGAAAAATTTTTTTACAAGGCTAATTTGATTTTTTAAAAATTTTCTAAAATTATTTTAATTATTGCAAGTAAAAACAAGTCCTCTGCACATTTTTATAACACACTAGCTGGCTTACCCGGCTCCGCCGTATCCGGACCAAACTTGGCACACATACACTACGGGCCCCGGCGGGTGTTACAGTCCACTTTTCGTTATCGATCGATGTATTTTACCGATTTTTATCGATTTTTTTGCAGAGTTCACCTACAGGGTAGGAGTTGGCACAGGGGGGGAAGTGAGCATGGGGATTCCGAATACAATATTAGTTTTCAGAATTATCGATTACTTTTATTGATTTTATCGATTTTTTGTAAATTTTGACATGCGAGGCTGGGATTTTGCACAGGGGGGTAATCGAGCATGCTGATTACGAACACAATATTAGTCTTCAAGATCGTCCATTACTTTTATCGATTTTATCGATTTTTTGAAAATTTGAGCTAGGGGGCTGGAATTTGGCACAGGGGTGTAATCGAGCATGCTAATCACCCCCCTTGGGGATGATCAGCATGCTCGATTACCCCCCTGTGCCAACTCCCAGCCCCCTAGCTCAAACTTTGCAAAAAAATCGATAAAATCGATAAAAGTAATCGATAATCCCGAAAACCAATATTGTATTCGAATCCCCATGCTCGATTGCCCCCCTGTGCGAACTCCCAGCCCCGTAGCTCAAACTTTGCAAAAAAATCGATAAAATCGATAAAAGTAATGGATAATCCTGAAAACCAATATTGTATTCGGAATCCCCATGCTCGATTACCCCCCTGTGCCAACTCCCAACCCCGTAGGTGAACTCAGCAAAAAAATCGATAAAAATCGATAAAATCGATATCGATCGATGACGAAAAGTAGCCTATGACACCCGCCGGGGCCCGTAGTGTATGTGTTCCAAGTTTGGTCCGGATCGGTTCAGAAATGGAATTTTCTATTCGGAACATACGTACATACATACATACAGACATACATACAGACATACAGACAAACAGACATTCAGCTTTATATATAAGATTTAAGTAACTTTTAAAAATTCCGCGACCCATTCTTGGGGGGGGGGGCGCCCCTCCTCTCGGTACGCCACTGGTTGCATGCTATTGTGTGCAAACCTGCCGCCCACGTGCGTCAGCGCACAAAACCGTGTTAGTCGAGGCAAGTCGTCCACCAAATATGGTGCTGGGTACAGGTGCCTGAACGCTGCCTTCAAGGTAGACATTAGGATCTAATCACTCCCATAAAACTTGAGCTATAGTTAGGGCAGTGAGTTCTCTAGTTCATTTGGGGGGGGGGGTTGAACTCTCTAACCTGCCCGAACATTTGGAGGTAAAGGCAATGTTTGGACCAGGATGATGAAGAGAATGTGGGGGCTAATACATTCACGACAATGCGACCATCTAGTGAGTCGTACGCGTTCTGCCATCTCGGGTAATGCGACCCATCTGTTGGTCGTAAGACTCCTGAAGCTTCACTTTGGCCTTTTTACGATGAAATTCCACGGGGTTCTGGCACATATTAGGGATATCTAGGCGAAGCTCTAGCCAGAGTGGTTCGGACTTGGGATACTGTTAGGTAATGTTACGGTAGGCGATAAGGTATGGAGTGGATAAGATAAAAGGCACAGACTTCAGCTCATATTCTTCCAATGGCACTGTTCCTGAAAACTCGAGAGTACATGCACAGGAAGTACGAATGTGGCAAGAATTGATACTAGACCATCAAAAGATTATCAATTTCGTTGATTTTTTCATGATTCATCCTAAAAAGTTCAAATCTTACATATATAGGTTTTGTAGCATGCTGATTACGAAAATTATTGAAGTTCTAATATCCCTTTCTTACACTATTTTCTTGATTCTAACGGAAATGCTAGCGTACTTCTATCTTAGCCCCACTATGGAACAGTAGTGAACAAAGAACATATAATTGTGAAGCACGTGAAAGGACCAATGCAAATCCTTGATGTTGGTTTCATACAGAATGGCCACCATATCTAATCTATCTAATATATAGGTATAAAGAACCGTAAGCGCGCAATTCAAAAATGTGCAAATAGCGGTAAACGCGTGGCGGTCAAGCGCGCGCATGCTGCTAGCACCCTCAATTGATGGTTCACTAGTAGTCTTACCATATAGTGCTGAGTGAAATAAATCATATTTTGATAATCAGCGCCTTCGATAACCTTTCTGGAGAAATTCTTTGTGACATGTTTCGATTTCCAAAAAGAATACCATTTTGGAGAATACAATCCACGGCTGGGTCGTAAAATTTACAAAGCGAGAAAGGCTCCTGTCCGAAACGGAGGTAATTGAAAAATCGCCTGTTGTGAATGTGTTAACGGTGATAAACGGCCAAAGTTTCGCACAGTTTTGCTGAGGTCGTCACGCGTTTATGTTTTCTGGGCGTGTTCGTGCCTTAGTGAATTATCGAGTATCCTTCCCTTGTAAGAGCGGCGAACGAAGGATACTAAAGTCTATCTGCATCTGTAGCGGTGTTATTATATCATTCATTTTGTATAATAGAAAGCAAAATTGGCGGGTTACGAACATGGTTAGTGTATTGACGTCTGCTAGAGTCGTTCCCTGAGATTATAAACAACATCTATATTACGAAGACAAAGTTTATATTGTTCTTTCATGTTGAGATGTTTCTGCATCGTGCGCAAACGAGTCCTGGCTTTTTTTTTCAATTCGAAGTAGCGGTATCTTGTTTGATGTTTCGCGACCATCGTTTATGGGATTGGTTGCTTCGATCAATAATCCAAAATCAAGTCACAACCTGTCTTTAAGTTTTTGCTGAAATGACAGTATTAGAGTGTTGGAGTGTGATTTAATTAGGCTCGTTCAGTCATGTCTCGACAAGAGCGTTCTATGTCTTCATCGGAGCCACTCTCGCCTGATCTCATCGCATTTCTGCGCGAGTCTATGGAGAAAGATCTCAAGTTTGACCCTCCATACGTGTTCGTTGTCTTCGGTGCATCAGTAAGTTACGTTTAGAATAATGCTTTCCTTGCAATATTAGTGACTAATGCTTTTGACCTAATACTATAAGATTTCGAGTCGTATCGTCGTTTCCCCGAGATAGATGGGGCGTGTCGCTGCACAAGTCCGCAAATGTCCGTAATGGGTAGAGGAACGAACGCCTCAAATGGGCAATGCCTCCGCGGGCTGCTGGTCCTTTCGTGCTACTGTTGTGCATCGTGTTAGGACCAGTAGTCCGCGGAGGCGGTACCTAATTGAGGTGTTCGTTCCTCTACCCGTCCGTAATGGATACGTTATTAGCCGTGGGGCAGAGTCGATATCGCCGAACAGCTGATTACTTTCCGAGCTGCAGCGATAGGTGGGTTTTCTTTGCTTAATTATGCTTTTTTGTTTCAGATTTTGCCGAAAATTGTTAAAGGTTCTTTAACAATTTTCGGCGTCTTTATTGTTCAATCACACTTACTTCATAGTATTTTTTCTAGTTTTGGCGCATTGCTGGTGCGGATGTTGCACTCTTCGTGCAACAAGCGTGCTTTTACTTCTTTTACTCTTGTGTTGTCTTTAGCAATTTTTTTTACCATTTTGTTAAACTGGATTGCATTATGCTTACCTGTGTTTCTCTCACCCTTTGTTTCCTTCACTTGAGAAACACAGGTAAGCATAATGCAATCCAGTTCAACGAAATAGTAAAAGAAAATTTGCTAAAGACAACACAAGAGTAAAAAAGTAAAAGCACGCATGTTGCACGAAGAGTGCAACATCCGCACCAGCACTGCGCCAAAACTGGAAGAAATACTATGAAATAAGTGTATATGAACAATAAAGACTTACCTTTAGCAATTTTCGGCGAATGAAACAAAAAAGCGTAATTAAGCAAAGAAAACCCACCCATCGCTGCAGCGTCGAAAAATAATCAGCTTGGCGATATCGATTCCCACGGCTAATACCGTATCCATTCCGGACATTTGCGGACTTGTGCAGCGACACGCCCCTATCTCAGGGAAACGACGATTTATGAGCATTTGTTGTCAGTTAGCTATTTCAGCTATGATGAATATACAATATGTTCCACAGATGTATTTGAGCAAGCATTTTATGTGCAATCACGCTTCCGCTTCGCTGAGAGGCGAGCGTGTAGCGCTGTATGTCGCCAAATCGAAGAGAATAAGGAGACGCAGACATGCATTCCTAGCATGTTTTGCTGCACTGTGTTGCAGTGCGGCGCGAGTTGCTGCGGAGCGGACGCGCGCCATTCTTTTGTCCTGAAATTAGTTGAAACAAACTGTATATGTTGTGGAATTTGGATGTCAGCAGCTTACTGAGGACAAAGGACAAAGGCAGCGTCCCAGCAGAATTTCGCCTTCCAGTTTTTTTTTACCTATTTGGAGCGATCGCCATGAAACCCATATCTGGGCTTTTCAGCGCATGAAAATGACGAAAATGAGCTTTTTCCGAAGCTTTCCGGGTCAGCCTTTAGTGGAGAAGTGGGCGGAGCCCGTAACGAAGAAGGCGTGGCTCGGCTTTGCGCACCCAAAAAGCTTTGGAAAAAGCGCGTTTTTGCCATTTTCACGCGCTGAAAAGCCCAGATACGGGTTCCTCAGGGCGAGAAGGTTCCGGAAAGGTGAGGAACTGGAAAACGAAATTCTGCCGAGCCGCTGCCTTCAACTTGGCTGCCTTTCAATCGTTTCAACACGTTGACTCCAACAAATTCAAAGTGCTTACAAGGGATTGGTCAGGAGTCGAAGTGGAAATCCGAACAAGCTGCATGCCATTAGATGCAACCATAAAACACTGATTCTGTGTCTGACTTCATTATCTGCTGATCACTTTCATGGATGAAGTTATTAGTTATCGCTACTTATCCTACTAGCAGGCGACCAGCCGCGTTGCCTACAAAAGGAAATAACGGACAGGATCCTTTTTGCGCGCCGCCTTTTTTGCGCTCCACCCACCCACGGATTGCCCCGTGACTTGTTCTATCATGACAACGAACGTCGAGACGCATAGTTTGTGATGTGGCACTGTTGCACACCACGGCTTTTCCTGTAGCATACGACGTGACTAACGCCGGTCCACCCGTCCTCGTCTGCCAAATCATGGCTTCAGAAGCAACTTTGAAGTTGGTGATTTGAACCTCATATTCTGAATCAGCGCCATGGAAAGGCCCGATAACAATGAAAACATGGAAGACGAAATTTTGAGGTGTACCCCGCCTTTAAAGGCAGTGTCCGGGCAAAAACTCGATGAGATTTTGTGTTTACCCGGGCCTATTCGCTACGCTGAATCCGAAAATGCACATTGTAGAACGCGAAAACGGCGAAAATGGCTCTAACACAGGAGGGAAATCAGCAGGTGGGCGGGGCCCTCCCCACTGTGAATTCACGATCCCAGCTTCCGGAGCCATCTTTTCGCTCCCGATTTCAAGTCAATCATTCGCACCTGGCCGATAGCGATGTTAGGACGGCTAGCGGTATTGAGAAGACCGCTCCGGAAGCCGGGAGCGTAAACTCACAGTGGGGAGGGCCCCGCCCACTTGCTGTTTCCCTCCTGCGCTAGAGCCCTTTTTTGCAGTTTTCGCGCTTTCCATGGTGGATATTCGGATTCAGCATGGCGAATAGGACCGTATAAGCACAAAATCTCAAAATCGAGTTTTTGCCCGGACACCGCCTTTAAAGGCAGTGGCTCGGCAAATCTCAGCCTAGTCAAATTTTCGCTTACCTGGGGTTATTCAATACGCTGATCACGAAAATTCACTTTAGAGAGCTCGAAAACGGCGAAAACGAGTGTTTTTCAACCCCCTTCCCTTCAAAATTGGACGAGTGGAGCAAGGCTGATGACGCTGAATCGTTGTGGGATCCAATGATTATAGCATTGCGGCGAGCAGCCTCCAATGGTGGGAAGGAATTTGCCAACTCGTCCGGGTGCGTGTAAGATTGGCTTGCGCGTGAAATTTGAGAGCGATTTTCTGGACAGAGAAGGCATGCTTGGCCACCGGAATTGCACTGTTTTCATACTTGGACGAAAGGAACCTACTGCGTTAAGATCCCGGGTTGTCAAGTTTTGCCGATCCACTGCCTTTAAGGGTTCCACGCTGAGGATGGTTGTCAATAACTTCTACAAAGGCGTTCTGCACATTAGGAAGACAGATTTGTTCTGTAGTTAATGAAGACAGATCGTCAGCATTTTATGCTGCATCGCATGATATGCAGCTTGTTAGGGCTGGCCACTTCGACTTCTGACCATTCCCTTGTTAGTCGAAGTTGACATCTTAGAATGATTGAAAGGCAACCACCTATGGGAACATTTCTGGGGGACAGGCAATATGTTGTTGTGTTGTTTTTCTATAGCGAGGTTTGGCAGTGGCTTTTGTGATAATTTTACCCCAGTTATTTTAGACTAGCTGGCTTACCCGGCTCCGCCGTATGTTCCGAATAGAAAATTCCATTTCTCAACCGATCCGGACCAAACTTGGCACACATACACTTCGGCCCCGGCGGGTGTCACAGTCCACTTTTCGTTATCGATCGATGTCGATTTTATCGATTTTTTGCAAAATTTGAGCTAGGGGGCTGGAATTTGGCAGAAGGGTGTAATCGAGCATGCTGATCACCCCCACGGGGGTGATCAGTATGCTCGATTACCCCCCTGTGCCAACTCCCAGCCCTGTAGCTCCAATTTTCCGAAAAATCGATAAAATCGATATCGATCGATAACGAAAAGTAGCCTGTGACACCCGCCGGGGCCCAAAGTGTATGTGTGCCAAGTTTGGTCCCAATCGGTTCAGAAATGGAATTTTCTATTCGGAACATACGTACATACAGACAGACATACAGACATACAAACAGACATTCAGCTTTATATATAAGACTAGCTGGCTTACCCGGCTCCGCCGTATGTTCCGAATAGAAAATTCCCTTTCTCAACCGATCCGGACCAAATTTGGCACACATACCCTTCGCGCCCCGGCGGGTGTCACAGTCCACTTTTCGTTATCGATCGATGTCGATTTTATCGATTTTTTGCAGAACTTCAGCTAGGGGGCTGGGAGTTGGCAGAGGGGTGTAATCGAGCATGCTGATTACGAATACAATATTAGTTTTCGAAACCGTGCATTACTTTTATCGATTTTATCGATTTTTTGCAAAATTTGAGCTAGGGGGCTGGAATTTGGCACAGGGGTGTAATCGAGCATGCTAATCACCCCCCTTGGGGATGATCAGCATGCTCGATTACACCCCTCTGCCAAATTCGAGCCCCCTAGCTCAAATTTTGCAAAAAATCGATAAAATCGATAAAATTAATGCACGATTTCAAAAACTAATATTGTATTCGGGATCCCCATGCTCACTTACCCCCCTGTGCCAACTCCCAGCCCCGTAGCTCAAATTTTGCAAAAAATCGATAAAATCGATATCGATCGATACGAAAAGTAGCCTATGACACCCGCCGGGGCCCGAAGTGTGTGTGTGTGCCAAGTTTGGTCCCGATCGGTTCAGAAATGGAATTTTCTATTCGGAACATACGTACAGACAGACAGACATACAGACATACAGGCAGACAAACAGACATTCAGCTTTATATATAAGGTTAGGAGAAGCCAACTTCATGCTCTCATTCATATATCTTTCCAGTTACCTTTTATGCGTTACTTCAGGGAGATCTCGCCAAGAAGAAGATCTATCCAACTCTATGGTGGCTGTACCGCGACTCTCTTCTCCCAAACAATATCACTATTGTTGGCTACGCTCGATCAGATCTCACAATGGAGAAAGTGAGAGAAACATTTGAGAAGGCTTGCAAGGTAGGTCCCTTTTGAAAAAGTCGTAGTCAAAGCTTCTTGTGTTTTAGGTGCGACTGAATGAGCGTGAAAAGTTCGAGGAATTCATTGGCAAATGCGCCTATATGCAAGTATGTTCCACCCTCGAGTCGTGTGCACCATTTCATGCATTGTTTTATGCAGCGGGTTATGATGTTTAGGGAGGATACGACAAACCGGAAGGGTTCAAACAGTTAGGCGCATTTGTGGATGAGATACAAAAGAAGAGCAACAATCGTGAGTTTCATCCCCTTTTTATAAAACTTTAATCCCCCAAGGTTCGTTTTGGGATTAGCGCAACGGATGCCAGGTAAGCGAGGAAGGTGGAAACTGAGGTTTTGCAGAACACTGCCTTCAGTCACTAACTGTTTCGCGAGGAAGGTATGCATCACGAAATTGGAAAAATCTTAGTCTTGCGTTGACTTTCTTCTTTCCATTCTTTCAAAATCTGAGAAAGTTTGGGAATGAGCTTTCGAAGCTTTCGAAATTCTGATTTCTTTGGGAAATTGCTCATCTAACTGGTTTTTTTCCTTACTTCTCTTCTAGAATCGGAAGAAAAGGAAATGGCTGTCGAAAGGTCTCATTTATGATGCATGTTACAGAGCCGGTAAATCGTCTTTACTATCTCGCAGTTCCCCCCACTGTGTTTGAGCCCATTACGGCTGAGCTGAAAGAGCACTGTATGGATCATGGGTTGGTATATTTCCGATCATTTGATTTTTTTTTTCTCATAGGCCAGTGGCGGCCCGAAAAACTTGTCGGAATAGGAGGGTGAGGGTCTCTCGGTTGAAAGTACGTTTGTTTTTTGGGCCTGTAACTCGTCAGTGTATTTTTTTTGTTATAGAACTTTTCCACGCACAGTTTGACACTTGTACCCAAAAATTTCGCGATCAGTTCTCGGGGAGGGGGGGGGGGGGGGAGGGATGCGCCCTTTTCGCCTCTTCCCTCGGTCCGCCAATGTCGCGAGCATTTTTGTTCCTAGTGGACATCTATCATTTTAGAGATTCGTGGACTCGTGTGATTATCGAAAAACCATTTGGTCATGACCTGGAATCATCTACGAAGCTATCCAAACATGTTTCAAAACTTTTTAAAGAGGTGAATGTGCAAGATTCGATTTAGTTGATCAGCAAATATTTGTTGCAATCAGGATCAAGTGTACAGGATAGATCATTACCTTGGTAAAGAAATGGTCCAAAATCTAATGGTGTTAAGGTAGGATAAGCATCTTGATTGACACATACTTGCTTAACACAATCTCCCAGATTTGGCAACCGATTTTTTGGAGCATCGTGGAACAGAGATAATATCGCATCAGTAACCATTTCATTCAAAGAAAATTTTGGCACAGGAGGAAGAGCTGGTTATTTTGAGAAAGCCGGAATAATAAGGTCTCCTCCCTCACGTTTTTTGCCATCTTGCTTTATTTCCCTTTACAGAGATGTAATGCAAAACCATCTTATGCAGATGTTCACTCTCGTTGCCATGGAAAAGCCTGCCAGTTTGAATGCCGAAGATATCAGAGATGAAAAGGTGTCAGCGGTCCGATTCGATTTAGAAATGTGAAAGTCACTTCAGGTGAAAGTCTTGAAAGCAGTCAAACCGATCGAATTGAGTGACATGGTGCTTGGTCAGTATGTGGCCGATTCCGAGAGTGATCGTAAGTTTTCTCCTCTTGCTTGGAGGTTCAAGATAGATCAAGAGGTAGATCAAGCGCTGAGCATTTATCTTGTCATCCAAATAACGTCTTTAATGTGTGAAAATAAAAACACTCATTTAAGATCCTGAGGCTTCCACTGGATACAAGGATGATGAGTCTGTCCCGGACGATTCCATTACCCCAACGTACGCCTTGGCTGTACTTCATGTGCAGAACGAACGTTGGGAAGGAGTTCCTTTCTTTTTACGCTGTGGAAAAGGTGGGGGAAAAATGGCTACGAGTGCGTCTTACGATTATTTATTTGTTACTTTGAGGTTTGAATGAGACTAAAACGGAGGTTCGTGTACAGTTCAAAGAAGTGAGTGGCGACATATACCCTCCCGGTGTTTTGAAGAGGTTTGTTGGCACTTGTATGTATCTCAGTCACAAATCATCTTTTCAGAAGTGAACTTGTAATGCGCGTCCAACCCAACGAAGCTGTCTACCTCAAACTTATGACAAAGAAGCCTGGCATGGGTTTTGATGTTGAAGAATCAGAACTCGACCTTACTTATAATGCGCGTTATAAGGTTAGCGTTTACTGCCAAGTTGTAACAACTTTACCTTCCTTATGCTTACAGAATATTCGCCTGCCTGATGCCTACGAACGTCTGTTTTTGGAGGTTTTCATGGGATCTCAAATAGATTTTGTCCGAACTGATGAACTTGAATACGCTTGGAGTATATTCACTCCTGCATTGAAGGAGATAGAAGAAAAACGTGTTAAGCCGATCGAATACAAGTTCGGAAGGTGTGTTTGTTGGTCTAGTGAGTGATATCAGAAAGGATCGGAAATCGGAAAGCCGTGCCGTTTCATGCTAACTAGTAGGAGACAATCTTTAAAAGGTACAGAGTGACTTTTTCAGCCGCGGTCCGAAAGAGGCGGACGAATTGATGCAGTCTTATGGATACGTCTTTACCGGAACTTACAAATGGGTAGCGCCGAATAAGCTGTGATTCGCGTGTAATTGCATAGCTGTGTAACAATAAGTCCATTTCATAGTTTTAGCACCAGTTTGATGATTTCGTACAGCAAAGGCTACACGACCACTCATCATCTCATTTATGATTTCTAATTCTTCATGGAGCTTACACTTTTATATTCTGATGACCCTCGTAATAATAAGAATATATAGATGAAAATTGGTTTGAAGCAGAAATTTTCTTGTAATAATGTAAAGTTTTTATGGAGGAAATAAACTACTGATTCTGTCGCTGCGACGTTGCTGTCTGTTCAATCCGATGTCATCGAAATACTCGGTTGTCAAGAAAGTGATTATTCCGAAATTCACCAGAAGACTGCGGATATGTTGTCTATGTTAGAGTCTTGAAGACATCTCCCAACATTTTGGGGTATTAGACAGCTAATTACTGGTCCACTTACCAGATCTATTGAAAGTACAGCTCTGACCAAGTTTAGTCACTGGGAGGGATTGACGATTTAAAGGGCGGTATAACTATTAACAGCTTGATTTTTAGATATAAATCATGGCGTGTGAAAGTGATAATATGTCGCCAAAAGTTCATTGGAATGTCGATGCAAATTTTTGTAGATGTGTGTTACATTTGGCTGAAACTCCGCGAAAGGTTGTTCACTGATTGTATGTTATACGTTCCCTGAATCCATTCAAAGTTGGCTTTTGTAGACATCTCGCAATTTTTGTCGAAGTGCTGCAACTTTTTGCGAATTACTAGTTTGTCTCACCTATGAGCTAGCAAAGGATTTTGGTAAACAAAAGAGGTTGAAATGAGCACCCCTACTGCCTTCCTCGGCATCAACATTCTTGACTGGAATGTCCAAGAACAAAACTCTTTCACTCCAGCGATCTCACAATCAGAAGGCGCGTCATCAATTCTGTCATTAATTGTAAGAGTTTTGGATAATTTACTATTTGCAGTCGTGGGAGAAATTAAAGTTGTTAAAGAACGTGTGCAGCAGCGTTCTCGAGTATCCTAGTCACAGAATGGATGATACCCGCAATGCACCATCTTATATATAAAGCTGAATGTCTGTTTGTCTGTCTGTCTGTATGTATGTATGTATGTATGTATGTCTGTGTGTACGTATGTTCCGAATAGAAAATTCCATTTCTGAACCGATCCGGACCAAACTTGGCACACATACACTTCGGGCCCCGGCGGGTGTCATAGGCTACTTTTCGTCATCGATCGATATCGATTTTATCGATTTTTATCGATATTTTTGCTGAGTTCACCTACGGGGCTGGGAGTTGGCACAGGGGGGTAATCGAGAATGGGGATTCCGATTACAATTATTGGTTTTCAGGTTTATCGATTACTTTTATCGATTTTATCGATTTTTTTGCAAAGTTTGAGCTACGGGGCTGGGAGTTGGCACAGGGGGGGGGGTAATCGAGCATGGGGATTCCGAATACAATATTGGTTTTCAGGATTATCGATTACTTTTATGGATTTTATCGATTTTTTTTGCAAAGTTTGAGCTACGGGGCTGGGAGTTCGCACAGGGGGGTAATCGAGCATGGGGATTCCGAATACAATATTGGTTTTCGGGATTATCGATTACTTTTATCGATTTTATCGATTTTTTTTGCAAAGTTTGAGCTAGGGGGCTGGGAGTTGGCACAGGGGGGTAATCGAGCATGCTGATCATCCCCAAGGGGGGTGATCAGCATTCTCGATTACACCCCTGTGCCAAATTCCAGCCCCCTAGCTCAAATTTTCAAAAAATCGATAAAATCGATAGAAGTAATGGACGATCTTGAAAACTAATATTGTATTCGTAATCTGCATGCTCGATTACCCCCCCCCCCTGTGCAAACTCCCAGCCCCGCAGGTCAAACTTTACAAAAAAATCGATAAGATAAAAGTAATGGACGATCCTGAAAACTAATATTGTGTTCGTAATCAGCATGCTCGATTACCCCCCTGTGCAAAATCCCAGCCTCGCATGTCAAAATTTACAAAAAATCGATAAAATCAATAAAAGTAATCGATAATTCTGAAAACTAATATTGTATTCGGAATCCCCATGCTCACTTCCCCCTCCTGTGCCAACTCCTAGCCCTGTAGGTGAACTCTGCAAAAAAATCGATAAAAATCGGTAAAATCGACATCGATCGATAACGAAAAGTGGACTGTGACACCCGCCGGGGCCCGAAGTGTATGTGTGCCAAGTTTGGTCCGGATACGGCGGAGCCGGGTAAGCCAGCTAGTACTCTATATAGTGATTCCGAAAATGCTTGAAACATAGTAAAATCACCAGTCATGAATTTAACGGCAAAAAGATTGACGAAGACAGCAGAAAGGAGAGACGGTTCGGAGTTGTAGGCGAAGAAGAATCATGTTCCTGTTACCAGAAAAAGCAGCTGCTCTTAGTTTGAGCATTCAGTCTGGTCAATAAATCGTCAAATAATAAGGGAAAGCTCAAATTCCCAAAGGAAAGGATTACGAAAAACCTACCACTTCAAAAACAACCAAAATTTCCCAGTTTGTACAATCCATCTGATATAATAGAGGTACGCGAAATTTCCTTCGGCAAAGCTCACAAGGGAAGAATGCTGAAAGGCAATGTCCACCCTAAGTTTGGAATTTTGAGCTATTGGAAGAATACGATAGTAGGGCCTCCTATCAAGCGAACGCCCGAGTGCGTCGAATGTCGCTCAGGAAGCGAAAATTGCACCGAAACTTGAAGAGAGCAGAGAAACCCTCGGCGGCAACGTCCCTCCAGTAATGCCCGCCTACCGTGTTTGCCCACCTATCGCCGTTCCGGGGAACCCGTCCCGTGGGTTTCCGAAACGGGGTTTTCACGGATTCTCCACTTCATATTCGGAATGGGGCATGAGAAGGCTCCGGAACGACAAAACATAGCGGAGTATCTGGGTAACGGCGCTTTCAAAAGCGGTGATCTCAAAATTTACTCGCTAATGTTTGCTTAGAATCGCTGATGTGAGAACTCGTTCGCGTTCTGCGGATGCTGATGATGATGGAAAGAAATAGTGCTCTCAAAACAACTGCATGCGAATACCCTTGGCGCATTCACTTTAACAGCAATCAGAGAGCGGTTTATACACCTAACAACAGGGTAAATTCAACTCTCTAGTCACTGAAACTTGTCACTTCTAGAGAGAGGTGCGATAGTCAGAACCGATTCTCCCCATACCTTTTCTTTCGAGCTAGTAAAGTGGACCTCCTTCATTTTTAGAGAAAATTTTTTCGCTGAATGATAAAAAGGAAAATAAGTGAAACAAACGCAAAAGGGATTATTGAAAGCACATATTTACGTATTACACTTTTAGGAACTCGCCGTCATCTATCGCGAGCAGCCGAATGCCATCACCCGCCATGGACGCATCCACTTCTCGACTGTTCCCACGAATCTGGAGAACAAAGCTTTTTGACGAATTTCGGTTTAAAGAGCTTTAACCAAGTTGTCCTCTTAAGGGCCAGCAACTGTGACCCAACGGCCCTCCTTAGGGCCACAGATACTTCACAGATTTTACTAAGTAAATTTTGTAACGTAATGCGAACAAAGTAGGTCGATCCAGGAAGTAACTGCCGAGAACCAGACTTCGAATGATAAATAACCATGCGAAATTTCCACTGTTATGAATCTGGTGGATGAAGATGTCAGCAATTGCGACTCTATGGGTTTCAAAAGGTAGGTATTGTTCTGTCAGACAGTGAAAGAATCAGTTCGCTTTGAGCAGTGGCCGCCGAGAACGAGAATTTCAAAAAATTACGCGATTTTAATTTATGCAGTGGCACCTGACATTTAAACTCCTATAAATCTGGATTAGGTGTGCGATGTTGCGATTTATAGCTTTTGTAGAATAATGTTTGCCCTATCGGAATTTGTCTTAGCCGCACCGATCCATTCAAAAAACGCCGAGATCCATGCTCTCGAAAAAGCAGTTAGAAAGCGCTTTTTAAAATTTAACAGTTCGTAACTTCTTCAGAACTGCATGAATCATGTTGCGACTTCATAGGTTAGATTCTTCTCATCAAGAGCTTCCAGATGACTTATAATATGCTGGGGGTTTGGGGCCTTCTACGAAATATGTCCGGAGGGGAGACTTTTCATCACTAATTCTCCCCCACACCACTTCTGTGTATTGGATGGAGACCGCCAGGGGAGAATTGGTGATGAAAAGTCTCCTCCCTGGGTTAAAGCCGCAAGGAGCATCGAACCCCCGCATATCACATATCATGTGAAAGGTCATGATGAGAGGAATCTAACCTAACCTATGAAGTCGCAACATGATTCATGCAGTTCTGAAGAAGTTATGAGCTGTTAAATTTTAAAAGGCGCTTTTACGCTTTTGCGCGTCCCGGAGAGGGGTCCCATTCGCCTGCTTGTGACGTCACCGTGACCTACAAAAAGGGACCGCCCCCTCGCCCCGCTCTCAATGGTCGATTGGGTCCTCCGCGGCTCTGCCAGTTTTCGACTGTCCTCCGGAGCTACGGCACCGACTGTCTGAGGAGTAATGACCAGGGTCAAGCGTGGGGTGTGGCATGCCACACCTGGGGGGGGGGGTCGTATTGAGGATTTAGGTGTGGAGGGAGGTCGTTATTAAGGCGTCCGCTTTCCATATAACGTGATATTCGTTAACAATGTCAAGTAGGCCCCTCATGCAAAATACTAGCACATTGATGTTTGACTCATTATCGTACACGTACAGTGAGCATAATTAAAGATCTATAAAGCACAAAAACATTGTTGTGTAATTAGCAATTAAAATAACCCTTGTGGTCCAAGTTTCAGCGAAATCTGAGATTTCCAAATACAGGACCACCTAAGTGAGATGGTCTCCAAACATGTTACTCTTTTTGCGCTCAATACAAAGAACTACTATTTCTTTGCTCTCACTAGGAACCTTTTTGGAGGTATGACACAGCTTGACTAAAGCAGCTGTTTAACGTTTTTAGATGTGTACCTACCTAAAAAAATTCGGGAGCTAAGAAGTGTTTTAATCAGTGAAAACTCCAAGTGGATCTATAATTTTGTCCAGCCTTCAAGCTTGTTTTTTTTTTTCAAAATTTTCGATTTGTTCTTGAATAACCAAACGAAAATGAAACCCATTTTGATGACTGATAGTAGGCCGGTAATCACACGGCTGTACCAAATTTTGGAACATTTTATTGACAACAGAGTGAGTTATGGCACTTTTTAGAGTGGACCTATAATTTTGTCCAGCACTGTACAACCCAGAGTGTGGCTGCCACACTCTATGCT